TTGTTTGCTTCTAGTTGTTCGCAGATCTGTTTTTTGTTTATCTTTTCTAGGATCTTCCCAGGTACTGATTGGTCTGTAGTTTTCTGGATCCGTTTTTTTTTTATTTCTTGAAGATAGGAACCACATCAGCCCTTTTCCAATTCTTAGGTACTTCCCTGGTGCTCCAGGATTTATGAAAAATGTGGTGCAATGGTTCTGAGATAACATCTGCCAGCTCCTTCAGAACTCTGGGATGTAATCTGTTGGGGCCCAGTGATTTATATTTGTCAAGATCAGATGGGTGTTCTCTTACCATTTTCTTGCTTATTTTATTTTTTGTTTCTAGTATGTCTTTTGCAGTGTTTTTTTTTTTTGGTATTGTTGTGGAAAACACATCCATATTGTGAAAACAATATAAAGTTCAAGTTAAAGCTTTTAAAACTACTGTAGGGCCTATTTCAGGTTTGTTCCAGCCTCATTTTATTATATGAAGAGGGGGCCATATTTTCATCTCCCACAGTATGTTGGGCTATAGTTTCTTTTTGTGTTTAGACTGATGCAAAATATGAGTTAAGCAGCTCTGCTTTCTCCATTGCCTGTTATTTCTTTGCCATCTTCTATCGTTAGTGGGCCTACAGTTTCCTTGACTTTTTTCTTGTCATTAATATGTTGGAAGAAACCTTTTTTATTATCCTTGATTTCTGTTGCAAGTCTTTGTTTGTTCTGAGCCTTTGCTTTCCTGACTTCATCTTTGCATATTCTGACTATCTGCTGATAATCGGCCTTAGTTATGTGCCCCTCTTTCCATTTTTTGTATTTGTCCTTTTTGTCTTTCAGTTTGTCAGAGAAATCTTTGTGCAGCCATGCTGATTTCTTCTTGAATTTCTTATTTTTCTTTGTCAATGGTATTGTGCTGGTCTGGGCTTTTATGATTGCATTTTTCAGGGTTTCCCACACTTCTTGGGTTGTTTTCCCCTTTAGGATTTTCATCCATGGGATCTTTCCCAAGTTCTCTCTGAGTTTGTTAAAGTTAGCTCTTTTAAAGTTTAGGACATTGGTTGGATTGTTTTCTATTGCTAGTGTTTGCATTATATTAAATTCTTCTCTATTTGTAAGGATTAAGTCCAGTCTACTTTTACGTCTTTGGGTGACAACGTTGTCGGCTAGGTTAGGAATCTGATTGACCTCCTGCTCACTGCAGAGTTTGTTTCCCAGTTGATATCTGGATAATTGAAGTCTCTTATTACTACTGTGATATGCTTCCTACAAACATTTGTTAACTGGTTGGTGAAGAGCTCATTTATTTCTTCAGATTGGTTGGGTGGCCTGTAATATACACTTATGGCAATGTCACTTTTTTCTCTTTTATATTGACCTATATACAGTCTAAAGAGATGCATTTCTGTAGATATGTAGTGTTCTCTTATATATAGTGCAACTCCCCCTCCTCTTTTTGTAGACCTGTTTCTTTTGAACAATTTGTATCCATCCATCAGTCCACTTGCATCCCTGGACCCACGTAACCTCTGGAGAGATCAGTGGGTATTCTGCCTCTGCTGCCTTCTTTATGCCACTTGTTCATTGTTCCTTTGGCCCAGAGTAAGGGGCTCCTGACAGCACCGCTTCTTCGCACACAGGTGGCTACTCCAGCTTCCCAGCCCCATTGTTGTTCCCAAAAGTAACACTTTTATCGAAAACACTACATTAGCACAAAAGAAACTAAATCAGCTTTTGGTTTCCTACTCAAAATCCACATAGTTAAACTTGAATTCCCCTTTTGCCATTCCCCTCAGTCTATTGCATTGTCCCATCGAATATGTTCCTTTTGTTATGAGAATTGCCTGGATCGGTCAAACACCTGCACAGCATATGGCCTTGGTGAATGGCCTCTTTGGGCTGTTTCCACAGCAGAAACGGCCCTAAGTGCCATGTGGCTTCCTGCCACGAACAACAGAAGTGGCCCAAAGTGCACGAGCAGTGGAAGCAGCCCAAAGCACTGCATGAGCAGCAAAAGCAACCAAAAGCATGCAAGCAGCAGAAGCAGCCTGAAGTGGTGTGCAAGCAGTGGAAGCAGCCGAAGCGCTACATGAGCAACGGAAGTGGCCTGAAGCACGCAAGCAGCAGAAACAGCCCAAAGTGCCATCCTGCCGGGAGCGGCAATGGCACAATGCGCCACATGGCATCTGGCTGCAAGTGGCAGCAAGTGGCCACAGAAGTCAAGTAGCGGCACGACAGGTGTCGGGGTGTGGGAGGCCTTGCTGTGGTGGTCCTATCAGTAAGGTAAATGGGTGCGGGGGGGATGGGGCAGCTTCACCCCACCCCCACCCTAGCTTGAATTTTAGGGGTGCCCCAAAACTAGGGCTTAGTTTTGGAGTAGGGCTTATATTAGGCCCACCCGCAAAAATCAAGCTAGGGCTTACTATCGGGCTGGGCCTAACTTTCGGGGAAACACGGTACTTGCTTTTGCTTTTCTCAGGTCCATTTTACCTCAAGATCCACTCTTCACCCAATGAAACAATGGTGTTTGAATATTGTCTCAATCTCAGTTATAAATAATCAAATAAAAAGTGGTGTTATATTAAGCCTTCTGTTATGTACATACTTCAATAACCTTATGCTTAAAAGGCTGGCAGAAGAGAGACAGAAAGACAGAAGACAGAAGCATCAGAGAGGGAAAGAAGGAGAGAGAGAGGGAGGGAGGGAGGGAGGGAGGGAGGGAGGGAGGGAAGGAAGGAGGGAGGGAGGGAGCAATACAGTAAGTAGGGAAAGAAACTAAGACCTAACTGCTTAAATAAGCCTGTAGAGAAATTCAGATTTTCACTCTAGCCCTGAAAAATTAAAAAACTGAATCTACAAAGAATTCTACAAAATGAGAGATGTCTAAGTGAACAGTACTTATAGATGTAAAGTATATTATACAGTCGTCAGTCATATAAATATTGCAAGTTTCCAAATGTGTCTACAGTGGTATCATCTGTACAGGATATGTTTGCTTATTTTAATTAATAAATTGTCCATTCATGGCTTAAAGATTTCATATTTAAAAATATAAATTTCCAAGCAAGGTAATTCAAAACTTCCCTATTTCAAAAGAATCCCTGTGACTTTTATATTGCCTGGTAGGTCACCTCAAAGGATTCAGTTGATTTTGTATCCCAATAGTGTGTTCCAACCTTAGTATAAAGACTATTTTTAAAATATATTTTGCAGGGAAACTTAATCAACTTCTTAATCCCTTGTTTGTCAACCAAAGAAGATAATTTATCTTTATACAATTTAGCCCCTCAATATTTAGATAGATTCCATTTCTTAGATGTAAACTAAAATGTGGTGAAGTATCAACATGCAGACCAGCTGTCTCTGCCTTAATTCATAGAGAGGCAGCTGCATCCCGAGTTACCCCTCATGCATTCTCCACGACCCATGCAGTGTCTCTCATGCACCCTCCCTGATCCATGCAGTGCTTCTTGCATACCACCTGTGCACCCTCTGACCCACAAGCATGTCTCATGCGCCCCCATGCATTCTCCCCATAAATGGAGTTAGCCAATTTAGGTATCTTTGTTCAAAAATTGCCCTATGATGCACCATTTCATCCAACTGAAGGCTACAAGCAGACAAGCATCTACAAGAGTTTTAGTAGTATATAAATGGCTGTGAGCAATTTTAGTAAGGAACAGGACAGAGTTGGTTTGGTAAAAATGTACAGTGCATTTGACATGTATTGTCTCCTGAAGGATCCATTTGCAGCAGTTGGTATTGAACAAAGAGACTGTCATTTCTGAGCAAACTTCTCAAGACGCCCAGGTTTATTGCAATTAGGTTCAATAGTTTACTGTTACTTAGTGTCAGTGCTTTTTTTCTAAAAAAAAAAAAAAAAAAAAAAAGTGCCAGAACTCACACACATCAGACAACCCGCCTTGCCTACCCTACAAGGTTCCATCCAAAAAAGGTGCTGGAACTCCGTTCTGGGTGTTCTATGAGAAGAAAAGCCTGCTTAGTGTTAACACTGTACCTGTGTATCAAGGGCATGTTCAGGGAGCAGGCAAAAATCCAAGCTAAAAGGTATGCCTTTGTGATCTGACAAATGTAGAAAGAATTTTGATCATATCTTTGTCCCCATCTTCACTTTTTGGACAGGATAGAGTGATTGCTGAAAAAAAAAAAGTCTGAAATAGAAATACTGGATAAAACATTCAGAGAGAAAAAGATAGTGAGAAGGAATGCAGTCAATAGTAAAAGAACCACTAAAAGGCAGAGAAAATGCAGAGTGCTTTTAATAAAATTGTTTTCTTAATAAGGAGAACAATCAAGCACTGGAATGGCTGGCTTTCAGACATTGTGCGTGCCTCATCGCTGGAGGCTTTTAAAAAGAGACTGAACAGCCACTGGTCTGGAATGGTACTATAGGATCTCCTGCCTTAGCAGGGGGGTTGAACCAGAAGACCTCCAAGGTCCCTTCCAATTTTTATTATTCTTTTATACCACTGTTTTGACAGAGGTTGAAGAGAACTAAAGAGACTCCAGCAAAATAAATTAACGATAAAAACTAACTGCAAATTATTTCAATTGAAATTGAAGTGAAGAGAGATGGATTGTGTATTTTAGAGATAGGATATCAAAGAGTGGGATTGAAAAAAGGGTTCAAGGGTCCATTTGGGAAACTACAATTGCACCACAGAATGGATAGATCGGTAACCAGCCATTTCACTAGAGGCAGGGACTCGGTTTCCACCTTACTGAACTGGATTCATTGTCTAAGGTTGTGCCTGCAAAGACACGTTCCACTTTTCCTGCACTCTTATTATTCTTTATTGTTGGCGTAATTTTTATTTTGCTTGCCTCGTGCTCCTTTCACACCAGTTAAACTCTGAAATCAGAAAGAACAAGAATTAATCTGAAATTAGCAAAGCTAGGCTGCCGTTGGAGTCTGAGGCTTTGTTTTGAAAAAATCTCTTTTTTCCCAGTAAGTTCAGCGGGAGGTGCGCGGGCAGGGGAGGGAATCGGAATACTGTACCGCACAGACATAGCAGGAAGCAAGCAAGTTATCGAGAGCAACACAACCCACTCTTTCACAAGTCTCTGTCATCCAAAGGCGGTCACTCCTCCTGACGTGGCTTTGTAACTCACTCAAAAATCCAGTCCTCCTCCAGCCCGCCTTCGTTCACGTCCCACCAACTCCCGCTCTGAAGAGGAGAGATCCAGGAATTGCGCACCCCGCCCTTTCCCGAGGTGGGATTGATAGACCCACAGCGTCACCTGGTGGGTGACGGATAAGTGACTACGCTGCTCGGAGCTTTCCTTCAAGAAAAGACTCGAAGGAGGAGAATTAAGAAGTAGGCTGTTACTTTCCATCAGAGAAGTTATAGTCTGGAGCTGAAGAAAACGCCGCCACACCCGATTGGCTCCTTCCTTTCACTCAAAAACTGAGAAACAGAAAGAAACCCTTTCTCCCTGAAGATGCAGACCCCCTCTTGAAACCAAAGGATAACAAGACCCATCTTCATTTTACCTTTTTCACTCTAAAAGTGTATTGATCTCAGTATTTTGCAGGTAAGCTGACTGCAACTTTGTATTCCTGCCCATTTTGTGATTTTATTTTAATAATTATCAGAGGACAAACAAGTTTAGAAACACTGTTTTTTATCAAGAGAAGCAAATTATGTTTCATCACAAACAGATGGGGAATTTTGTTGTACTTTTGCTTGGATGTTCAGTTATAGGGGGGCAAACCTCATCCTCTTATGCACCCTCTGCTTTCACAAAGCCTTTTTCTCAGCAGAAGTTCTTCTTATGCCTGCAAGAAAATGACCTCAGAATATAGTTGCACTCTTATTTTAGCCACCAAAGCAGTGTGTGTGTGTGTGTGTGTGTGTGTTTGTGTGTGTGTGTGTAACAGGAGTAATTAATTAGAATATGTATTGTTTGTGGGGTCATATCAGCACAAATAATCATTGGATTATTTTTAATCACAACTGGATTTTTCAAAACATCTTTCTGGTTTAACTCTGTTTAGTAAATCATAAAACGTTTGATCTGTACTCCTGTTTGTGAGGACTTTTCATCTTCTAATAAACTAGGAATACAGTTAGATGCTGCAATGATTTTAACTTTTAAAAGCTGGCTAGTTTTCTTTCCTTTAATACTGCCATTGTAGATGTATTGCTTTCACTGTGTTACAAAGGAAAGTGCAAAATTCACTGGGTCTTTTAAATTACTGTCTTAATTCCAGATTTATGAGTTGTACTTACTAGTGAGTTTGACTAACAAATTAACATTTCTGTGTGTGTATGTATCTAGAACTTGATAGAGGAATAATTTACTGATCAGCATCAATTGTCCTCCTGTATTGTATTACTTGACACAAAAGTAGTAGCATCTTTAGCAAATAGCATGCTTGGTTCTTGGTTTTGCTGCTTCAGAGTGCAGACCTTGATCACTAAGTTTACAGAAGTCAACCCAGCCCAGTCTTGCCTTCTGCTTCGTGGAAGAATGTGAATGCAAAGCAAGCAAATGCAGGGAGGAAGAACATTCTGAGCAATTACACATCAAGAATCTCTCTTCAGCTATTAGTTGAGAACATGTTACTGTCCAAAAACAGCTCCTTTCACAAAGGGATCACCACAAGCAGCCATAGTGCCAGGAGAGGCCCAGACTTACATGGTTCTTTAGAAAGGACTCTGATCTGATCAGTGTCTTGGATCCTCAAAATGTCTAGACCTGCCACAGAACATGCTCTTCTTCTGCATAAGACTAGCCTCCTGAATGAAGCTGTAAGGAAAGTTATATCAAGGTTTTTAGTTAAGGCTGAATGTCGTATTTTTCAAGAGAGCATTAATACAACACCATGAAATACAGTGAAAAAAAGAAAGCAAAGCAATCGTAATAGAATATAATATTCTTAATAATAATGGTCAGTGTTAGAGGATCTATTCAATGTATCCTTTTGTTAAGAAAACAAAATCAAGACTAGCTGTTAGTATGAAAACTTAAGAATATCTCCGCTCTATAATAGTTTGTTGTTACAGAATTACTATGCTTTTTGCTCAACAGAGAAATGTAATCTACAATAGCATACTGGGAAAGGTTATTTTAAGTTCCACATATTTCTGAAATTTTGTGGGCTTCACTATTAAACATAAAGGAGAGTTATTGTCCTATACAATCTGTTTTCCATGTAAAGACACAATGAATTTTAGAGACCCAAACTGCAGTTGGAATTCCTAGATTTGCAGGCCTGAAAATGCCTGATTTGTTTAATCGTAAATATAAGTATTTTAAACCTAAGAACCGAGAATGCAGTGGCTTTATTAAAATGGCTGCAGATCAAATCAGATTTGTAGGGGTAAAATGTTACTTTCATTAACAGTTTTTATCCCTCAATTCTAAGGTTTATGAGACCCAAGTTATGGGAAGAAGCCACAGCTCAATATTCAGCTCAGTATTTATTCTGTTTGAAAAAGACTTCAGTTTTTGTCCATTGCCTTTTTTTAGTATCAGGGTTGGAAAAGAATTTTTATTTGCAATCTTGATTATTTTCCTTTCTTTGAAACATTGTCTCTGTAAAATATTCTTGATTATTGAATAGTAGAAGAATATGTTTATAATGTGTAAATATATTTACACAAAGGGAAAAAACAGTCCAACCTATCAAAAACAGTACTGTAAAAAACAGATTAGAAACACAAGTTAAGATAGGCAAGAAAATGGTAAGTGAGCACCTGTCCACCCTGGATGAGTTCAAATCACCAGGACCAGATGGACTACACCCCAAGGTTCTGAATGTACTGGCAGATGTGATCTCAGAACCACTGAACTATATCTTTCAAAGATCCTGGAGCACTGGGGAACTACCAGAGGACTGGAAAAGAGCTGAATTAGTTCCCATCTTCAAAAAAGAAAAAAAATGGATCCAGGAAACTATAGACCTATCAGCCTGACCTCAATACCTGGGAAGATCTTGGAAAAGATAATCAAACAACAAATCAGCGAACACCTAGAGGCAAACAAAGTTATTACCAAAAGCTAACATGGGTTGTCAAAAACAGATAATGCCAGACAAATCTTATTTCATTCTTTGACCAGGTGACAAAATTAGTGGACCAAAGGAATGCTATGGATATAATTTACTTGGACTTCAGTAAGGCATTTGATAAAGTAGACCACAACCTACTACTTGATAAGAGAAAAATGTGGGTTAGACAAGATCTCCACGACACGGATTCGTAGCTAGCTGACCAGCTGTACTCAGCATGTGGTCCTCAATGGAATTGTATCTACATGGAGGAAAGTGTGTAGTGAGGTGCCCCAGGGCTTTGTTCTGGGCCCAGTGCTCTTCAACTTCTTCATCAATGATTTGGATGAGGGGATAGATGGGGAACTCATCAAATTTGCAGACGACATCAAGCTGGCAGGAATAGCCAACACTCCAGAAGATAGGCTTAAAATACAGAAGGATCTTGACAGATTTGAACATTGGGTGCTATCTAACAAAATGAAATTCAATGGTGAAAAAGTAAGGTTCTACATTTAGGCAAGAAAAACCAAATGCACTGGTATAGTATAGGTGGTACCCTGCTCAATAGTAGCAACTGTGAGAGGGATCTTGGAGTCCTAGTGGACAATCACTTAAATATGAGCCAGCGTTGTACTGCAGCTGCTAAAAAAGCCAACACGGTGCTAGGCTGCATTAAGAGAGGGATAGAATCAAGATTACATGAAGTATTAATACCACTTTACAATGCCTTGGTAAGGCCACACTTGGAATACTGCATCCAGTTTTGGTCACCATGATGTAAAAAAGATGTTGAGACTCTAGAAAGAGTACAGAGAAGAGCAACAAAGATGATTAGGGGACTGGAGGCTAAAACATATAAGGAATGGTTACTGGAATTGGTTATGTCTACTTTAATGAAAGGGGGACGAGGGGTGACATGATAACAGTGTTCCATTATCTCAGGGGCTGCCACATAGAAGAGGGAGTCAAGCTATTCTTCAATGCACCTGAAGGCAGGACAAAAAGCAATGCATGGAAACTAACCAAAGAGAGAAGCAACATAGAACTAAGGAGAAATTTCTTGACAGTTAGAACAATTAATCAGTGGAACAACCTGCCTCCAGAAGCTGTGAATGCTCCAACACTGGAAGTTTTAAGAAGAGACTAGACTGCTATTTGTCTGAAATGGTATAGGATTTCCTGCCTGAGCAGAGAGTTGGACTAGATGACCTCCAAGGTCCCTTCCAACTTTTTATTATTATTATTATTGATCATCGCACAGTCAGCCAGATGTTCAGACTGGATTTGGCATTTTGTCTACCTATTGAGTCTATTATTGTTATTGTTATTATTATTATTATTAAGACCAAATCAGAGTTTCTAACAGGTAAGTACTCATTTATGACTTCATTATTTTTCTTAAGTAAATACTTCAGGAACATTCAATATTTTTTAAAATCCAGATATAGATTTTAAAGTTATTTTTTCTTAAACATAACTGTGTGGAAGCCATCCCCCCCCCAAAAAAAACAATACTGTGGAGCTCCTAATATTTGATTAAATCAGAAAGACATTGCTGAAAACTACACTTTTAGACCTCCTAGAAAATATGTGGTTCCATCTTCCCTATCATGGGTATCCAGTCCTCTTTTAGAACAACTTTGGAAGATTGTTCTTGAACAGGGTGAGGTCTGGGCAGTGACGCAGGGCTTGTGCCGTTGGGAAGTTCTGCTCATCTCCAGAGTTCATTGATGGTCTAGGGCAGGGGTAGGCAACCTTGGCTCTTTTATGACTCGTGGACTTCAACTCCCAGAATTCCTGAGCCAGCCATGCTGAGGGGAAAAGGAGAGGTTTCCAAGCTGAGCCATGCTGGCTCAGGAATTCTGGGAATTGAAGTCCATGAGTCATAAAAGAGCCAAGGTTGCCTACCCCTGGTCTAGGGCAGGAGTGTTAAACTCAATTTCACTGAGGGCCGCATCAGCATTGCGGTTGCCCTTGGGGGGGCCGGGTGGGTGTGGCCAGGGTAGGTGCAGCCTACTGGATGGGCGTGGAGTGGGTGTGGCCTACTGGGTGGGTATGGCCAGTTCTACATCGTTCACATCAAGGGGGCCTGTGGGGGCCTGGGCAGGAGTGGGACAGATCTGAGGGTCTCTGGCAGAAGGGGATGGGACAAGGGCAAGTGCCAAGACATGGTCCATTGGAGGAGCCTCACTGTTCCTCTCAGGCCATGTGGGGGGGGGTAGATGGTGGTGCGGGCTGTCCAAAGCCCTGGGCAGCAGAGGTCAAACGCCCAGCCTGGCCCTCGAGCACCCGCGACACCAGGCCCAGCCCCACTTCCCCAAGGCGTCGCCCAGCTGCACTTACCTCCTCCTCAAGGCTGCTGCTGCTGTGCTTGCTTTCCTTAGCCAGGTTGCTCATGATGGGTACAAGGGCAAAGTCAGAGGGAGGCCCATTCCCTCTCCTTGGGAAGAGACCTGGCTTTGTATCCAAAGTTTCCTTAGCAATAGGATGGGAGACCCCAGGATAGGCCAGGAGAAGGGGGCAAGGGGATGGCAAAAGGGCAGCAGGACTGGACTAAGGCAGGACGTCTCTCAGACCCTCTCTCTCCTTCTTTCCTTCTTTCCTTTCTTTCTTCCTAAGTACAGAGTGGTGGGGAAATATTTGAGATGAGGGAGGGAGAAAAACAGGCAAGAAACACAGCCAGGCCAAGGCAGCGAGGGCCATTCCCTCACTGTTTCCAGGATGGCTTCACAGGCCACATGAAACCACTTTGCGGGCCACATCTGGCCCCCGGTCCTTGTGTTTGACGTGTCTGGTCTAGGGCAAGTCATTGGGCTGATTCCTGGCGAGGCTGGGGCCATGGGGGGAGGGGTTTGGAGAAATCCCTGGTTCTGTTTCAGTGTGTGCAGAGAGATTGCTTGCATGATGGGATGCTCTTCCAAACAAATGCCATTCCTTCCATTGACCTACAAAGGGCATTGCTTTTGGGGGGGGGGGACTTTATTTAGTAGTACTCATGAAAATAAGCCTTGCATTCTGAGATGGTACACTCCAGAAACAATGTATATTACAAGGTCATTGAATCAGGCCAGACTCTCTCACTGCCATGCAGAACTTTTGTGGTGATATGTAAATGTAGACTCAATCATCCAGGCCAAAAGCACGTTAAAGATCATTTTGACTGAAGAAGTTATACTACTTGGATGTGTAATGAAACATCTCAGTTTAATGAACTTTGGTCCAGTTGCCATGATTTAACCTTTTACATGCTTTTGGCCTGGATGATTGAGTCTACATTTACATATTGCATTTCATTTGGGGGGGGAACCCCCTGCAAGAGTTAGTTCATTCCAACAACTCTCTTATTCTGTGCCTAACCAAAAATTATTATTTTGACTGAAGAAGTTACTTGGATGAGTAATGAAACATCTCAGTTTAATAAACTTTGGTCCAGTTGCCATCATTAACCTTTTACATGTTTTGTGGAGGTAATAGGACCCAGATTGTTGGGAGCAATATGCTGACTCTGTAAACTGCTTAGACTTAGAGAGTGTGATAAAGCACTATGAAGCGGTATATAAGTCTAAGGGCTATTGCTATTGTTTGTACACTGAAAACACTACAGCTGGGATGAAAAATACTGTTATACGTTTAGAGAATCCCACAAATGTTGGTTCTTAAACTTTTGCTGTGGTCTCTCTCATAAAAGGTACGAAAGCAGCCATTTAATATAGGACTTTGGATACTTTGCCCAATTATCCACTTTAACAAGCCAGGAGAGGCATGGATCTAAAGATCAGGTGGCTGAGCTTACAGAATACTGTGGAGTCTGTCCATCCTTTGTTGCCAGTTCATATGAATTCTGCTGGACTAGGTGGATTAAAAATCTCACTCTTCCCAGCATCCAATACACTTGTGTCTTAGTCAACTCAAAATGTTTTAACTTTTGTGATGATTCTATCCTAGCACCACGTGCAGCAGACGGGAGAATTGTGGGGATGTTCTCACAAGCCTTTTTAGCTGTTCTGCTCTGCACGACTGTGGTCCCTCTCTATGCTCAAAATGATGAAGGAACTTCCTGTGCAGGTAAAAAAACATTGTTTCTCAATTTACTTCAGTTATTTCTTTATGCTTTTTCCTTCTGTCATGCCTTCTGAAAATATGTAAAACTGTAATAGTTTAATAGAAGAAATAATTAAAAATCTTATAGTGAAGATTACTGATACATTCTATGATTAAAATCCATGTCCAAAATCATACATCTGAATATCTAGGATTCTTCAGTGTTTTGAATCTGAAGGCAAAACGGTATTATCAATCATAGAGTGCACTCATATATCTCTAATTCCTTAAAGCAGCTACATTTTTTCTAGAATTCTGTAACTGTCATTTGCGGCAGCCACAAAACCCCAGTGAAAATGATACACACACACACACACACACACACATTTCCTTTAGCTGGAGCTTATGCATTTATATTATTTGACTCCTCTGTAAAAGATGGAAAAATTCAGAAAAGCACAAGCAAAATGATCAGAGTTCCAATATCTGAGGTGCTGCCACAAGGGAGAGGGGGTCAACCTATTCTCCACAGTACCTGAAGGCAGAACAAGAAGAAATGGATGGAAACTAATCAAGGAGAGAAGCAACCCAGAACTAAGGAGAAATTTCCTGACAGTTAAAACAATTAATCAGTGGAACCACTTGTCCTCAGAGGTTGTGGGTGCTCCAACACTGGAAGTTTTTAAGAAGAGTTTGGATAACAGGATATAGGGTTTCCAGCTTGAGCAGGGGATTGGATAGAGGACCTCCAAGGTCCCTTCCAACTCTGTTATTCTGTAAGTCATTTGATAATTTCCCTATACAGAGAGTTATTTCTGAATTTGAGAAAAAAGATTTCCCCATGAAGAGAGTTATTTCTTAATTTGGGGAAAAATATAAAAATAAGTATTACTAAAAAAAAACCAAGTGATTTTTTTTTCTTTCCCCCTCCCTTGTAGTACTAGAACTGAATCCCATTCAGCAAATGGATTAGCACCAAGTGGTTTGGTGGGTTTCTGAAAAGTTATGGAAGGATAAGCTACCAGGATTTTCTACACAGACTTTCCAACCTTTGGATTATTGTGACTTGGCAGAAGTGATAAAAAGAGGGATGAGAGCAAAGGGGGGATGCTGATGGAAAAGGGATGTTTGCCTCCTTGCAGTGCCTCAGGCATAGGTCAGAGACTTGGGACAGCAACCCAGAAAATAGTCTTGTGTCCAGTGGGGATCAATTTGAGATATTCTTCATGCTGCACTGAATTCCATCATTCAGAAGGAAACATGAGATAAATGTTTCATTTCTTAGTTTTATAAATTCATGAAAACCATTTTGGCAACAAGATCTTGATAAGCAGTGAGCTGTAGGCAATACAGATAATCCTCAACTTACAACAGTTTGTTTAGTGACCATTCAAAGTTACAACAGTACTGGAAAAAGTGACTTGGGACCATTTTTCACACTTACAACCCTTTATGGTGCTCGCTGTCTGAGTTTAGACTAGCCTCATTGGTTTAAGGGATACATGTTCCTAGTGGAAATAAATAAGGCTCATGCAATATTCTATATCTTACATATTGATGCTAACTCTGTAATGGAGATCAGAATGATAACCTTTTCTTGGAGAATGTGGCCTGGGGAAAAGGAAGGGAGAGACCTCATATCTTCATGAAGCTGTAAGAGTCAATTCAGGAGCTGATCCTTAACCATGGGAATGAAATCAACACAAATTCCAAGGGCCTCATCCCCCAGGAACACCTGGTAAGTCTCTAGATATGAATTTACCTAGTCTCCTTACCCCATTCTTTCTCCTTTTCTCTTTATGCAGATAAAACTGAGTGTCCCATCACGGTGTACTTTGTCATTGATACATCTGAGAGCATTGCCCTTCAGACTGACCCTATTGAGAGTTTAGTGAACCATAGCAAGAAGTTTGTTGCTCAGTTTGTCAATAAGCTGGCCAATGAAGTCTACCAACAACAAATATCCATAAACTGGCAAATTGGAGGACTTCATTTTTCAGATATAGTGGTGATCTTTAGTCCTATAACCCAAGACAAGGTGATATTCAATGATCGGTTGGAAAAAATCCGTTACATTGGTCGGGGCACTTTCACAGATTGTGCTCTCTCCAACATGACGGCTCAGATGCCTCTCAATTCGCTGGGGGCAAATTATGCAGTTGTGATCACTGATGGCCACGTGACAGGAAATCCCTGTGGAGGGATGAAGCATCAAGCTGATCGAGCACGAGATGCAGGGATCAAGCTCTTTGCAGTAGCCCCCAGCCAGAAAATCTATGAGCAAGGTCTCCAGGAAATTGCTAGCCTTCCACATGAGCTTTTCCGGAACAATTATGCCACCCTAAAGAAAGGCAGTGTTGATGAAGATACTGAGACCATGGATAAGATCATTCAAGTTATGGTAAGAATTGACATCTAAGAATTGTGTTAGAACATTGTTTTACTGGATCATTTAGTAGACTGACTGTCTACTAAGGTGGAAGCTGCAAGATATGGTTTTGTGAAAACCAGCACTAATTGGGTTAATTTGCATGAAAATACTTCAGGCCATCATTTGAAACAAAATATTTTAGAGAAGAAATGAACAGGAACAACCCCAAGAGAGATTTTGTTCCTGCTATCTCAAAAGACCACTAAGGATGCATTTCCTATGCAGAATTCCAGGTTCTGCTCCAGAATTTAAGATGACACTTAACTTTGTTTTTAGATAATAACAATAAATAAATAAATAATGGAGTAGCCACCCAGGATTTTGTGCATCAACTCTGCCCAAAATTTATTTTGTTTTTCCAAACTTTGGCTATAATCACCTTGAGGAAAAAGAACAGGTAGCTCTCCCTGCTTCTCAGAAGTAGAAGAATTGGCATTTCAAGTATTTATAATGTTGGATGAAAGCCACTGCTATCTTGGTTTCAATAAGTTCATCCTGGTTCTTCCCAGATCTGTGATTCTAGTAATAGTGCTTGTTGTTCCTAGGCTGTTTCCAAATAATTGAGACCAATAGGTGGAATATTATGCAGAATTTTTATCAAAATAAAGATTTATTGTCTGATTATTATGCATCACCGTGTATATGGAGAGAATGCTTGGTTGCTTTACTTTCCAATAGATACCAGTAAATTTTTAAACTGTTTTGAAAGCATCATATGGATTTATACTGTTGCCATGTTTATTGATGTCTTCCAATTGCTCTTTTCTTCCCCTAAACTTCCTGCCTCCAGCACTATAGGAAAGATTTTGCTTAACAAATGGGTTCTTTCTAGCTTTAGAACAGTCACACCTTAGAAGCCTTCTAAGGCCATCAGCTTTGTTCTCGTATGAGAACTAAGTCATATGGCCAGGTTCTGCCAAATGGAGAAAAAAGTGGGCTTTCCTCTTTCCCTGTTAGGAATATTTCTAGTATTATGGATTAATTTTACTGCAAAGGCATCTCATGAAGAGAGACCTCACTTCCCATTGAAAGTGATCCAATTTGGGCAGTTCAATTGGAACTAGAACAGAACTCGTCAACAGATTGGGAAAAATTCAAAGCATCTTTTCTGCACTGAAATCACATTTCTTGGAATCTAGTATTTAATTTTTTAAAAATTACAGAACAGAAGCCAATCATATACTCTTTTTATATTTTTATAGCTGGTTATGATACCCTCTTCTGATGTCTGTAGAATTGGGGAAAGGTTCTTCACAGCACTAGCACTAGAATAGAGAGAGAATTAACAGAAGGATAGTTAGCCTCACACAGATCTAAATATCCACTTTTTAATATTTAAATAGATGTGAGGAAATAATACTAGATATTACTATAAACCTGTGCAAAGTTAAAATAATGAAAATAAATTAATCAATTTATACCTAACACAATGTATAGCATTATGAGCATCCTTAATTTGATACCACCAATTAGCCCAGTCTATTATGGGAACAATACAAATCAAGCAAAAGCACCTGCTAGGATTTAAGCATAGACACATAAGATTGGAAGGGACTTCTGGAGGTCTTCTAGTCCAACCTTCTATCCATGGCAAGAATCTTCAAACCACCCGAGAAAATTAGCTATCCAGGCCTAGTTTGAAAACATCCAGTGATGGTGCATCTGCATTTCTAAAAGTCAGGCTGCTCCACTCCTTAATAGCTCTTACTGGCAGGAAATTCCTCCTTATTTCAAGTTTGGATTGCTCTCCGAAAAGTTTATATCATTCAGTCCTTGGATACTGCGAAGAACAAATCTACCAACTTTTCCTTGTGAGAGTCCTTCAGCTATTGAAACACTGTTATTTTGTCTTTCCTTAGCCTTCTCTTATTTAGGGTAATCACGCACAGTTCTTCTAAATTCTTCATAATTTAAGCCTCTAAGCCTCTCACCACCTTTCTTGCTGTTCTCCATATCCTCAGCCTCCTTCTTGCACTATGATGAGCAAAACTGGATTCAGTGCTCCAAATGTTGAAGAGCAGTTGGCTTAGGACAGAACACTGAATCGCTCCCCTGCATTCCCCCCTTCCCTGTAGAAATAGATCCATTAAGGACTAGGAGTTGAAGAGGGTTTTCAACCAATTGCAAAGCCATCTGGTAGTGGGACCGTCCTTCTGACATTGTTCATTTTATCAAGTAGCAAGTTGTGGTCAACATTAAATAAGTAACTTACTTAAAATTTAGGTACAGTATATTATATCCATAGCATTCCCAATTACCCTATTACTGTAGTGTATTTCCTGGGCATCTCAGCTATTTGTTTGACAAACATTTTATCTATAGTTTCTGCCTGATGGGTTGGCCTGTCCCAGTATCATCGTTTCTTTTCCCCTTAGTATTAACTCAGATGCTTTCAGAAGAGTTTTTATCCTTGATATCATAAACTTCCATATAGAAATAGTAAAGCTTTATGAATAATTTGACTTCCCTTTTGTTGAGTCTGCTTCCTTTGAACAAATTATAACCTTCCAGTTCTATATTGCATTCATAAGTCCCATTCCATCAAGAGTAAGAGCAATGTCATATTTGCCCCCTGCTCCTTACTAGGATTTTAATTTCTCCCTGTTTGTTTCCATACTCTGCACACTACTGTACAGATATCTGAGCCCTTTAGCATTGCAGTGCCACAGAAGAAAAGCCCAGGATCAAACTGGAACTTCTTCCATAAAATTATGTCTTCTTTATTTTCTATGCTTCTAAAATTCACTGTTTTGGAAGCATTAAGATTTCCATGTCAAAGGCAAAATGAAGAATCTGAAGCCTGAGGTTTGATTGCAATTAGGATTGAGCAGAAAAAACAGAGTTAAGCAGAACACCAGTCATTATTGCTAAAATAGCCCTACTCAACCTGTTGCTCTTGATAATTCAAGAATTCTCACCAACCATAAAATCTGCATATCTTCTTTAAATTGGGGTAAGAAAAACCTATGTTTGCATGGAGTACATTGGTGAAATATGCTTAGCCATACAGATTCAAAAGAAAGAGCTGTACTGGTTTCTTTTTTCAGTTTTATAATTAAGTTTCTTTTCTTTTTGTTCATTCCCTAACAGAAACATGATGCCTTTGCAAAGGTAAGCATACAATTGTTTCCACACAACAATATTATGAATAGGAACTTTTGGGAGTCATACACAGCTCCAGGTTTTGAATCACTGCCAACTGTGCATTCTGTTTAGAAGAAGACACCTCCTGATGCAACAAGGCTTCTTTCTCAGAAAAATAAATTCTGGACTAAGTTGCAGCATCATAGAAATCTATCCAGTCCAGGTTAATTCCTTTATGGATTTGTCTTCAGAAATATTAACAAAGGAATAGAGTACAAAATATAGAGAAATTGTATTCTTTTTCCTATTTCAAAATCTTTAGAAAAGGATGTGCAATTCACATATCTAGAAGGCGACCCACAAGTGTGTGACATTAGACAGCCTTCCTTCAAGAAATATTGTAAAAGGGGAGCAGAAAGTGGTTTTAATTGAGTTATTTAAACATGGTGGTCCTCCTTTTAAATATAACTTTGCCCCACAGCTCCAAGATATCCGTGCAGAAGAGGAACAGAAACCATATAATTCATTTTGAAATCTTCACCTATATTTTCTTTTCCTTTTAGTGTTATAAAATGAGCTGCCTTGAAATTCAAGGTCCGCGTGGCCCAAAGGGATTTCAAGGACAAAAGGTAAAGATATAAGGGCAAAAGGGACAATAAATATGTAAGAAGAAAGAACAGATTATACATCCCAAGGATTTCAACAGAAAACCCACATTAATGGCTTAAAAATACCAAAGATAGAATTTCAAGAGTGTTATTGTTATATATCCATGGGTTGTAGCTTTGGGGCAATAAAGTGAGGAAGTGGTGTAATGCTTCAGTATATACAATAATCACAGTTTATTAATAATTCAGAACAGTCACTTATCTTTAGATTATGCATGTACAGATTAACTTGAATTCTGTCTCCTAAAATTACAGGGAAAAATACATTTGGCTTTTTTTAAATATACATTTCCTTAACATCAGCATTTTTATGAATCTGGTATATAACACAGATGTATGATTTTGTGTGCAACATTTCTGATTATATTTTATTTAATACACTTCTTCTGATATTAATTTTTGCTTTTTGGTTGTAGGGAAAGAGGATTAATAGACAAATATGTATAACAATCATTGTTCTAATATACAGCTTTCTGCGATATATGTTGTTCCACAAGTTTTATATGAAGTTCTTGAGCCAAGTACAATAGACTCTTGCCACAATTTTTGCTCTTGAAGTGATTGTACCAGATTTTTACATTCATAATTTAGATCAGGGGTGTCAAACTGCTGGGCCGCAGGCTGGATGCATCATGCCAAAATTGCGCCCACCCCATTGCAGGCAATGAAAAAAAAGTTGCGATACGTCATGACACGTCACGTGATCTTGCGAGTTTGACACCCCTGATTTAGATAGTTGCATAACTGAGAATTGCAGTCTATTCCCTATAAATCTACCTTCTCTACAGCTGCATAATTCTCTATTATTTGAGGACAGGTTTGCTGTATTTAGAATATAAGCAATTCATTGGCAGTTCAGCTTCTTACATATTTGCAAAGACCAGTATGTGAAGAAGCAAAAGTAAGTTTCATAGCCCTAGCCTAAAATCCTATATCCCCTTTTCTAGAACAAGTGACCTTGAATTTTGCTTCCAAAGGCTCGCATCTTATCAATGGCATTCTATAAAAGCAATTAGAAATGCTCTTGCAGGATCAATCTGCTGAAACATTTCAAGAAGCTTAGGAAATTGGCCAGAAAACTTTGGGCTCACTCATAAAATAACAGTGAGCAAATGGAACCTTAGCAATTAGTGGTTCATTGATAGCAAGAACTAGGTTCAGTATTCTCCTGTTTTCAGGGTTTATCCCTTGAGTGAGCAGCAGTGATTGCTATCAGTGTCTTAGCCCCTGGGTTTGGATAGGACAGTTTTGTAGGATGGACAAGAAGCATGGCATTGAATAATTTCTGAAGATACAATATGAAAAGCCAGAGCCAACAAGCCACATGGAATGATGTGTGAGCGTAGGAGTTGATTTTTGTTTTATGGGAAATCTCTGAACTAATTAATTTCTTTATTTTGCTTTTAGGGTGCGAAAGGAAACATGGGGATTTCAGGCTTTCCTGGACAAAAAGGACGGCAAGTAAGTAATTGGAAGAAGGGTGAATTCTAATAAGTATTATACAATTGCTGTTCCTTTGAACATGGAGTATAAAAGATCATATTGAATTAGACTCTCATCTACATGCCAGTTTTAGGATGGCATATAATTCTAAAATTAGCTTATGATACTCAATCAGTGTCTGAATGCCTTTGAGAATGTTCAGTCAATATATTATTTTGGTCATAGGATTTTCAACTTGCTTTAATGAGAATTTATTTATTTATTATTTATATAATTGTGTACATTCGTTTATCATGCTGCTCTAATTTCCTAATTCATAAAGGAAATCAAAAGCTTCCATTGATACAGATTCTCTCTTTTTTCTTCTTCTTTAATAATAGAAGCTTTAGTGGAATGCATCAGATTAGGTCCTTATTAGGGAGTCAAAGAATTAAAGCCCACTATAGCCATGCTGGGCAGGGCACATTCCAGATTAGGATTCTTCACACTGAAACACGCACTTTAAATAAGATTCATATGATTGTTTTTAAAGGTCCTGCTGGGGATGCTCCATGCTGAGAGTGGCTGACAGGGGAGAGAGAAGATCCTCACCCCTGTGTCTTCCATCCTCTTGGTTTTTAGTCTCTATTTAATCTTTGCTGATTTTAATTTTTTTAATGTTTCTGTTTATTATTTTGTAAGCCTCCCGGAGTTACTTCCACAGTGAGAGAGGCATGTTATTATATTGATGTCAACTTATGGTCTGTGCTCTCAAGCAGAACATTTCCACCCAATGCAAAAATATGCCTGTCCTATATAGGGCAATATCAGTACTGATACTGAAGATATGTATGTATTTATTTATATATTATATGTGCATGTAAAAGGCGACTGGAATCTAATGAAGTTTGTGCATCCTCCACTCATTCATTAGCTTTCCATGCATACCTACCTTCTCTTAAGATCAGAATGAAGAATAGGCTTGACCCAGATGTTATATTATAACTTGGTGTGACTTTCAGTGAATAAGCCTTAGTCTCTCACACTTTATCATACATTGATTGATAATTCTGGCAATCAGAACCTATGAATGGAAAGGGAAGATGAGGGGAAAGTGTACATTTGACTCTCCAACTTGCTTAACAATGCACCAGCTTAACAATACACCAGAACCAAGCCTATGTCTTTTTTAGAATGTGTGAAAGCAATTTGTATAGTTTATTCATGCTGCTTGCTTTCATTCCACACTGACCTCTAATAAAACATTTGATGTAGTCGAATGCAATGATAGGCAAAAGAAATATATTCATCACTCCTTATAAAAACTATAACACAGTTCTTTCAACTCTTTTAAAATATTTTGTATATTTTGTATTTGTATTCTCATCATATATGTTTATTCAGCCTAGAAGCAGAAACAATCACTAATATTTTACCATTGCCAATAATGTATTATTATCATCAGGGAAAGATTGTAGCTGCCATAGGTTAATCATATTAAATTCACAAATAAATGTATATATAATTGTAACCATAATATAAATTAATAAAATTGGTGCAATTAATAATATTGCATAGTGCAACTATTACCTGTACAAATTAATGTAAGGTAACAAAGGTAATAAATTAATATGCATTATTACCTACCTAAGGTAAATGAACATGCTATGCAGATTATGTCAACTAATAATGGCATTTTCTTTTTACATATAGGGTGATCCAGGAATTGAAGGTCCAATTGGACACCCTGGACCTAAGGTAAATCATTTTGGGTCTCACTTTTAAGCATTTGTTCTTGTACTTAGAACTTGACCAAGTAAGAGAGTTCAGAGAGACTTCCAGAGAGAGAGAGAGAGAGAGAGAGAGAGAGAGTATTACAGAGGGAGATAAAGAGTGTTCCAGAGAGAGAGAGAGAGAAAGTTACACAGAGAGAGAGAGAGAGAGAGAGAGAGAGAGAGAGAGAGAGAGAGAGAGAGTTACAGAGAGAGAGTGACAGAGTTCCAGAGAGAGAGAGAGAGAGAGAGAGAGAGAGAGAGAGATTCATCTTGGTACTAACCAGTAATCATTAGAGCTGCAAAAAGCAAATTTATTGTGATTTTCAACATAGGACAGATAATTAACAACTCAAGAAAAATTAGGCAGATGTCATGTTCTGATAACTGAATGGTTGTTGGGCTGATGAAATATCCATTCCTTTATCCTGTTCAATTCTCTAAAAATTCCTGAATTAGTAACAATTAGTTCATCTTAGGTTTTATAGACTGAGAGGAAAAAGATGTGGAACTCCCCTCCCAATAACACTGATGAAAGACATGAACCATGTCCCAAAAAGCACCAGCTAAGAGAAATAATGGTTGATAGAAAGAAGATGAAAAGTTGTGTGAATTCAGTAGAGAAATTAAAAGAGATTTTCTGAGCACTGAAACAAAAAATGGAAGTATGAAAACCTGGTGGAAGTCAGGTGGGAATCATTTACAAAGCATGACTGTACCACAATAACTGATGACCTGCAGAAGCAGCCTTAAGTGTATAGTCCAGTGGTTCTCAACCTTTTTAATGCCGCAACCCCCAACCGGTCGTAAGTCAAGGACTACTCAACTGGTCGTAAGTCGAGGACTACTCAACCGGTCGTAAGTCGAGGACTACTCAACTGGTGCAGCACCGTTTGCAGAATGGGACTTTTGGCGGGCTCAGCAGGGCAGAGACAGCCTGGACAATTCCTATTGGCTTTTGAAAGCCAATAGAATTAGACTCTATTCAAGAGAGTCTATTCTATTGGCTTTCAAAAGCCAATAGAATAAAAGGGAGTAGCACAGCTAAGGAAAAGGGGGGAAAAAATGGCGGACTGCATTGTTTGGCGACCCCTGTGAAATGGTCGTTCGACCCCAAATGGGGTCCCGACCCACAGGTTGAGAACCACTGGTATAGTCTAAGGCAGGACTTTTCAACCGGTGGTACATGTACCACCTGTGGTACTTTGGCAGGTGGTATGCAACTGTCCTAGAGAAGTGTAGCAGGGAGGGGAATGAACCAAAGTGACCCAAGCCTGAGGAAGAGGCTACTGCAGCTGCAGGACTGTCTGGGCTCAGCAGAAGCCCCTGGAGCTGGCAGGGCTCCAGCTGATTGGCGCTTCCAAAAGCAGTGCGGAGCTGGAGATGAACTAGAGAAAAAGGGGGGGAAGAGAGGAGAGGTTATAAAAGGAGGTGGTTTGGGTGGGAAAGGGTAAAAAAAGACAACAGAGAAAGAGGAGAGCTCAGCAGGCAGGGAGGAAACAGGGACAGGGAAGAAGCAGCAGCTGTTGATGGAAGAAAAAGTCTCCTGGTTTATTTTCTCTAGCCAGGAGAATGCAATCAGCACTGATGAAATGAAAAGCCGGCAGACGAGCATGTCAGAAAGGAGATGGGCTTATTTAGTTCTGGATCAGCTGGCAGCTTGATTGGGTTATCATAAGGATTTTTGTACAGTTTTTACAGCATTTTGTAATTCAGAGGTTCAGTTTGTGTGCTTTGGTTATTGGAATATTTTAATCTGTATTTTAGGCTAGCAATGAGTCCAAAGTGTTGACTTCCCTAGGTTTAATCCCTTTAAACAAATGTAATTAGTTTTACCCCCTTATCTTAAGTCTGTCTATGGGTTTTAGAAAGTTTTTTTTTAAGGTAAACAGGCTTAATTTAAGGCTAAAGCTTTTCGCAATTGCCAGAGCCTTTCAGATTGCAACATTGTGACACATGTCATGCCTGAGACAGCTTAAAGAAAAAAAAGCGGAATTTATGTGCTTCTTTATTTTATGAGCCTTTCTTGCTTTGCACTTGATTCCTGTGTCTGTAATGGTACAGGGAAGGGATTTGGGGGAGGGGGTGGATTCTTACTACACTGTGGAAGGAGAGCTCAGAAGAGAGAGAGGAAGAAGAGCCGACCAGCTAGCTCAGAGGTCTACAAACTTAAAAACTTTAAGACCTGTGGACTTTAACTCCCAGAATTCATCAATTAGCCATGATGGCTGAGGAATTCTGGGAGTTGAAGTCCACAAGTCTTAAAAGTGCCAAGTTTGAAGACCCCTGAGCTAGCTGGTAGTGGTGCGTATTAATAAACATGGATAAATTCATCATACATTTGTCAGTGCAAAGGGAAAGTAATTCAGCAAAGGAACAAACACAGAAGAAATTAAAACTGGTACTTTTTTTCTTTTTTTGTACAGTTTGCAATATTTTATTAGATTATAGAATAAAATACAAAAATACAAAAGCAAATAGTAGGACACAGTGGGGAGGAAAAAGGGAAAAGTGAGGGGGAGAAGGGGAAAAGAACAGACTTCCTGTGTTGCAGTAGAAGGAACATTAACATTGAACCTCAACTTTTTACTTTTCCATAATATTATAAACTAGCCATTTCTATAACAACAAATGAATCTAATCAGTAAAACCCAAAATCCCTTCCCCCTTTTTTAATCATCAAGTTTTTGACATGTTGCTAAGCACTGGTGGTAGTCAAATATTGTCATGTCCTAAAAGTGGTACAATCTGTGAAAAGGTTGAAAAGCCCTGGTCTAAGCTAGGGACCAAACAGGAAAACAGGATATAGGAGAAGATAGATTGAGGCAAGTTGGGAGAGCATGAATTCCAAACTAATCATTTACTTAAATATATTTATTTAAATCAACTAATTAACAAATCTATGTCAGTTCACTCTAGTCAGAATAGCACAAACACTAATTGAATAGCACAATTAGTACTGAAAGTACTTTTTGTTTCTTTTCCAGGGTATTCCTGGTCTAAAAGGAGAAAAGGTAAGGTAGTTTTACACATTCGGAAGACTTTGGGAAGTGTGCTTTATAATTGGAATGCTTTATTTACTACAATTCCGCATCTCAAGGAGAGCCCTGAGCAATGGGTTCCCTGTCACCTTTCCTGGAAATGGAAGCAAAGGGCCTTCGCCAGCATGCAGAACCTGCAATCCTGGGTTGGACTGAAACAAGCTCCTGGAATGCAGGAAACCCCTGCCACTAGGACAGTGCAATGGTTTGGATTGGGAAGCAGAAATATATTCCCTACACAACTCTTCCAACCCAAAGCAGGTTTTTCTGGGCTGGGCTATCGCTGGGTTGCACTATAGACCTCGTAGGAAAAGAGGTAGCTACTGAAGGAGTGGCAGACAGGTGCTTTGAGGATTCCCCCCACATGCCTGAAGCATTTTTGGTTTATATATTGGAGGCATCGTTCAGTCCTAATCGCTAGCAAATAAGCAGTGCTCTTCTGTTTTACCAAAATGCTCTTAGTCAAACTGCAGTTGTGTTTTGATTTTAATATTGTCTGGCTGATTGCTGGGATGTTATTTATGTTATCATTTGTGATTTTCTTATTGTAAGCTACCTTGGTAAAATTTCTAGTCCTAAATAATTTCTTTTTCACCCAACTGGCCAGGCAGGGCTTAACATTGCAACTAAAGTCTTATGGTAGATATAGGAGTGGGGAAGACCTTTCATGTAATTTGTTCTGGGATAATATTTAGTGACACAGAATTATTTCACTCTATCCTAAATAATTTCTTAACTAGCTGCCATACTGTTGTGGCTGTTTTTAAAGGAAGCAGGGCTTGATTCATCTTGTTTTCTTATATCCTTTATAGGGAGAGTTTGGAGCAGATGGACGAAAGGTAAGGTTTGACAGAGGAACATAAGACATTATTTCAGTGTTGGTCTTATGGAAAAAGCTGTCTCTAATGCTTTGGGTCTTGATTTCAGGGAGCTAGTGGTATCGCTGGAAGAAATGGCACTGATGGACAGAAGGTAATGTCAGCGCTATAATGTCAATCTTTTGTTTACATTGATAAAATGCCTTTTTAAAGAAAAATGAGCTCCCTAAATATAGGCTTTAATTAGCAATCTAAAATAGGAGAGTGGCCCAGACAGATCATTAGTTTTCTCTTTCATTTTGTAACTGCATTTGTTGGCAAGTTCTTCTGTCTCGTTCCTGAAGTACTCTAATAGCCACATCCTCATTTCATTTAATTTAATTGGGGAAAAATAACTATTTAATTTACAGAAAGAGTCATTTGATCTGTCTGAAGATTCGTCAGTACCATGTTGTGTATTGATCCTGAATAGTTGAGATTCATCTAAAATTAGTGGAGCTCCTATGAGTTATCACCTTATCACCCACAACTTCCTTAGTCTTGAGTTATTGCTCTTCTCTTGGCATTTGGCCTGTAATCATTTGCAGCTACTTTAAATTGAAGTAGGACAATTCATGGAAAACAGGCCTCAGACAACTCCCCAGCCTTACTTTTTGCAGCTCACCAGGATAACACCATTACATCCAGTGGAAAAATGACAAATTCTATTACAATGATTTTTTTTTAAAAAAAAAAAAACACTTTAAAAATGAATTAAGATTTAAAATTTTTAGATTTCATTCTGGGAGGATGAAAAAATAGAAATGATGATATAAGATCTCCTGCCATGGGCAGGAGGTTAGACTGGAAGACCTGCAAGGCCCCTTTTCAGCCCTTTGATTCTATTCTATTCATTCTGAAATGCAGCTCATCCTTCCTGGCTCAATCTCCCTCTTCTCAGTTCATTCACTAAAGAGGCTCTGAATTGCTGGGGCAGTTTTTGCTGAATCTTTAAGAAGAAATTTAAGTACCTTTGTGGTTCCTCCACCTCATCCCTGTTTAATGTTGCTCACAATCTCTCCTTTTATATCTAACGCTTTCAGGGCAAAATGGGGCGGATTGGACCTCCTGGCTGTAAGGGTGATCCAGGCGAAAGGGTAGGAATGCTTTCTATACTATGGCAACTCTTTTTTCATATTCTTACAAAAAGTATGCAAAGGAGATTATTATGTTCAAAATGTCTTGGGAATTTTATGGATGATAAAAATATTCACTTTTTCATAAAAATGTACCTTGAAAATAAATTAAATAAATGTCATTAGTTTGTTTATCAATAAAACAAATGAAAACCTGAAACAAGAAGGTGACTTTTATTTACAAATTCTGTACAGCTCAAGGTGAATAATAAAGTACAGTAATGCAAAGTGTTTTGAAAGAGCAATATAGAGTATGCAAGCAAATTAGTCAATGAATTAATAGGAGAAAAATGAAAAAAGACTGACCAATAGGAATCCTTTAGGAAAAATGATTCAGTAATGTTTAATACACCAAAAGAAGCTTATGCTTCTTTTCAGTTGCCTATAATCATTCAATCATAATCCTGTAACATCCACCACTAGTCATATCTCTATACAACATACTCAGTCACATTAGTCAAACTGCTTGTACCACAGCAGTGCAAATTCAAGTATGTATCCAGGGGTGGGATTCAATTTGTCTTCTCTTTTTACAGGCAATATATACATTTACTTGGTTTTTACATGATTTGATAATATTTTTTACCTTTTGCTTTAGTATTAGTTGACTGGGACATGTTTAAAATGTTGCAGATTACAAATATAGTAAAAATAACACAACAATAAGTATTACATATCAACACCTATGGTATGTGACCTAACACCAAAATGGTAGGCAGTATTAGCAATTGCTGGATCTTTAGTCTGCCCTGGTCCAAGTTCACAAATATTACCATTTTTCCATTTCTACTCTAGAGCAATGATCCATTATTAGTGTGTCCAGTTCTTAACATTCTTTCTAAGTTCAGAATGTGATTTATAACTTTATACTGAACAGAAACTGTGAATTGCCTTAAAGTTAATAAAACTTGCTAAACTTTCCCAGACCTTTCGTATGGAAGGCACTGGAACTAACTTTACTGTCAGAACCCATTTCTACTTCATTTCTATCTATCCCCTCTGATCTAAAAACAAATCTCACCTTTCCCTGGATTCTGCCATACTCCTAAGGGGGAGGGGAGATTTGCTTGCAAGTTATTGCTTTCGCTTCCTCTATTTGCTATAATGTAACCTTTTGCTTTGTTTACTGCTTCTGTGTCCATTGGCCAGCTACAATGTAACAAATTGCTTCCTGCACTGTGTCTCTCTCTGAACTTTCTTCTCCCTAACCTGTCAGCTAGGAAAAGTGGGGGGAGAAAGAAATACAACCTCCAGAGCCTGGCTTTTCTCTCTGTTTCTCAAAAGAAGGTGTGAAGAGCTGCTTGAACATCACGCTGCAACCAGAGCCGGATCGATGTTATCTCCCCTTTTTTCACAATGGTCTTAACACCTAGGGATTGGCCGGTTTTGAACCATCTGGATGAACTGTAGGGTGGGGTTTGCTTGGGGACACTTTAAAGTATCGATCTGTAACGAATCCCTCAGATCCTGTCTATTATGCCTGCTATCAACTACTCTTAATAAAAGTTCCTGTTGGAAGAAATTGTTTCCAAGAGTTCTGCTTTCTTAAGATGTGGGGCTGAAGTGGGTCCTTACATTAGACAGGATCGGCAGTAATAGTCAACCTGGAAAGAAGACCCTTACCGGGGGACTTTGCAAAATCTACAATGTCAGATGATGGGGCGGGGAAGGAAGAAACCACTGTGAAAGGGGAGCCCTCCCTCTGGCAGGAACCTTGCCAGCTGTCAGGATCCAAGACGTCATACTCCTTAGAAGAAGAAGTGGTGGAAACGCGTGACCACAAACCTCGGTGGTCGATGGACGTTAGCAAGAAAGACGAGTGGGAAAAGAGATCGAGAAAGCAATCAGTGAAAGTAACCTATATCCCCTACCCCTCATGAAGGACATGTTATCTCACCTATCGAAAGGAAGAATTTTCACCAAACTAGACCTAAGGGGATTACCATGTTAGGATTAAGAAAGGGGACGAATGGAAAACCACATTTAATTGCCCAATGGGATGCTACCAATTCAAAGTTTTGCCGTTTGTACTACAAGGGGCCCCTGCAGTATTTATCCAATTAATCAACGAGGTACTAAGGGACCACCTATTTAATGGGGTCCTAGTTTATCTAGACAACATCCTTATCTCCACTGAGTCCAAAGAGGAGCATGTCAACCTAGTCAGAGTGGTTTTAAAGAAACTGTGAGCTGCCCACCTATAAGCCAAACTATCAAAATGCAAATTCCACCAGGAAAAAATAGACTACCTGGGTTATCGCATCTCCCCATAGGGCATTGAAATGGACCCCAAGAAGTACTAGAATGGGCACCATCTCGCACCAGGAAGCAAATGCAAAGTTTCCTGGGTTTCACAAACTTTTATCGCCAGTTCATCCCTTCATTCGCTCAAATAGCCCTGCCCCTCACGAACCTACTAAAAATGAAGGGAGAATCCTCAGTGAAACCCAGCCAGCCACTGAAATGGACAATGGAATGCCAAGCGTCGTTCGAGTGGCTAAAGAGACTCTTTTCCACCAAACCCATACTGAGACACCCAGACTCGGAAAAACCCTTCGTTATACAGGCAGACGCAAGCGATGTGGCGGTGAAGGCTGTACTATTACAAGAAAACGATGAAGGGGTATTGCAACTGTGCGCGTAAACGTCCAGAAAACTCACTGAGACGGAACAGTGCTGGGCTTTGTGGGAAAAGGATGCATACACTATGAGATGGTCATTACTTATGTGGTGCCATTTCCTTGATGAGAATAACATCCCTTTTCAGGTCTGGTCAGATCACAAAAACTTGGAAGCATTATTGGCCAGTTTTGAACCGTCTGGATGAACTGTGGGGTGGGATTTGCTTGGGGACACTTTAAAGTATCGATCTGTAAGGAATCCCTCAAATCCTATCTATTATGCCTGCTATCAACTACCCTTAATAAAAGTTCTTGTTCGAAGAAATTGTTTCCAAGAGTTCTGCTTTCTTAAAATGTGGGGCTGAAGTGGGTCCTTACATTTACTTTGGAAAGTGAAAAATTTAACATAGTTTTGGTTTTTGGAAGAATTGATATTGAGCAAAGCCACCACGGTTACTACTATACTGGATTCTTTCCTCAGCATCCCAGATTTGCACCATATAAAGTTGTGAGAAGAATGAAATCTGCCTCTAAATATCTGTACAGAGGTTTTTTTTACATTTCTTTCTAATATACTGCTACCTAATAATTCCATTTAGATCTTATCTGAATTCTCTCAGATGCATTTCTAAAATGCCATCTATTTAAGACATGGAAAAAAATAAGCATCAGAATGGATATCATGAGATGTTTTCACCATTATTATATCTACAGTCACAACACTTTTTCTATTATTTACATTGTACTTTTCTAAATAAAGTGACTTCTGACTAAGTCCTTCCCCCTCTCCCCCGTTCTTTCTTTTAGGGTCCTGATGGCTACCCAGGAAGCCCTGGTGATCAAGGTCCACCAGGAGATGAAGGGATAAAGGTCTGTACCATTCCATACTGGCAGAGATTAAAGGCAGCATGACATAGTCAGGAAGAGTAAATTCAAATGAAAACAGTACATTAATCAGGCTGATTTCTCTGTTGAGAAACTGAGAAAGTTTCTCAAGGTATTTAGTTTAGAAAAAGGATAGTAAAAGGAAATGAGCATAGTAGATATTTGTTTTTTAAAACAGATTTTTTTAGAACTTGGGTTGCAAAGTAGGAAAACAAAATTAAGTTGCTCTTCACTCAGGGAATTCTAGGGCTTTGCTAAGATTTGGAATGGACCTCCAAAAGGTGCATCTCAAAGTGTGGGAATACCAATGGTCTGTTTGCAGCCTCTTAAAGGAGCCCTGCCCTTTTCTTTGATTGCAGAGCACCTTCAGAGGGCAAGCCTAGTGAGAAGACAGGCAGCTTCTCTGCAGTGTCACAAAGTAATTGCAAGTTTGCTCTGTTCAATTGATTTTACCTTTATAACGAAACAAATCTTATGATGAGTTTTGATTTGTAAAGGGAGCTAGAAATTCTGAAAATTAAGGTAAGGAAGATGCTGTTGTCTGTAGGAAGAGAAATAAGAGTCATTTAGAGAACCTTTTTCTTGCGTGTCACTTTCCATTTCTCAGTTGCTAATTTTTCCCATGGGTGAGCTGTTACTTGGGAATTCAAATCCAGCTTAATGTTAAGCTTGTCCCAACATGAACATTTAGGAAAGAAAGACCCTCAACTCTGTGGTTGAAGTGAAAGGTTCACTTTTATTAAAGTCAAGCAATTACAGCATAAGCAAAGCTGGATTTGAATATTCCTGCTCAGAGCCTGCAGTTTTCCCACTTCCCTGGCATTTCCCCCTTGACTATCCATCAGTGTCTAATAGTATTCACTTTAGCTGTTTTGGGAATGACTTTGAGGTTTGGCACCTCTTTGGTGGGGTTTCGCATTCTGTTCTCATGCTTCATCCTTGATCAGCTGGTTCATTCCAGATCGGCACCTCTGGTTCTTGCCATTCTTCCTCTTCCTCCTTCTTCCTACTCCTTATTTCCCCAATCTCCTCCCCTCCCCGCATTTTATGGCAGGATGCCAGCAAAGATGGCAGACCTGACAGTGGGGGATGATTTAAAAGGAGAAAAGACACTGAATTCCTCCTCCCCAATACAATCACTACTATTAAATTACATTTAAAATGAGTCATTTATTTATAGCTCTTCCATGACTATCAGAATGGGATGCAACTTGTTTTAGGAGGGCCTAATCTAAAGCTTGCATGACTAGAAATTGGGAAAAGCTGCTTTAGATGCTTCTGGATGCTTAGGAAATGGGCAAGAGAAATAAAACAGACCTTCACTAAGCATCTGTAATGAATTCCTTGAGGGTGGCATGGACCAAGGCACAAAGTATGGTTGATTTTTTTTCCTATCAGAGAATGTTTTATTGTACAAAATTAAGTTTTCCAGTATCTGAATATGGAAGAGAAATCCTAGCCTGGTTGATCCGAATTCCTTGCCAGTTGCCCCTTTCCTCACCAGCTCTTCCCAGTTGGCGCTCCTTTGCCTGCATCTGGATCTCTGAATCTGGTCTGTCCCATGTCCCATGCCTCTTCTGCTCCTCTCTTCCATCTAATTTCTGGCTCAACTTCCCTTCTCTCCACACTTTCAATCTCCTTCTCAGCTTCCACCATACATCCTTCTGCTGGGTGTGACCATAACATAGTCTGATCTGGACTAATTTCATTCTGATTCTAGTATATGTATATGCATGCATGCATATGTAACTAAAACAATGATAACTCTAACAGCTGTAACTGTAACAACTATAATTAAATTGTAACTTACATGCATTGTTTACTACATCTTGTTTCAGGGAGATCCTGGCTGGCCTGGCAAACATGGACCACCTGGTCCCATTGGAGAACCCGGAAGCTCTGTGTGTAACCCTGTGACTTTTCTGAAATAATTTAATTCCTTGAACTTCAGACTTCAAAATGTACAGATATGATGTATCTGTTTCTTTTACAGCAACTATAAAAAATTAGGAAAATAGGAACTTTGGTTAGACTGAGCTAAACTTAAACTAAACTCCTCTAGTAAACCCCCAAATGTTAAGGGGAGCATTTATTTATATTTGTATTTGGGGACAACTACTTGTTGGAAGTATGATTAAGATAAAAGTATCTAAGAGAGTATGTGCTTTCCAAACTAAAAAATCCAAGGTTTTCCGCAACATTTGTGCTCCCTCCAGTACAAATTTCACAATCCAGGCTATTGATTGAACTCTCTAACATTGTGCCTGAAACTATCTGTAAGCAGATGGTCTGAAGGTAAGCGTTTTCAAGCAACGCTTTTCTTGGAGAGATTTTTTTCTTCCTACCCACTATTTTCAGAACTGTATTTAGCAGGACTAAAAAGAAAAAAAAGAAAAAAACTGGCTAAAGAAATCCAGATAGACCCCTTAAAATTTGGTCCCTCATCCTAATGATAATTGATTACTGATTTGTATTACAAGAGAAAGGAAACAAATTTGCAAAAACCTAACATTTGGAAGTGTGGTTCAGTGTGATCAAATCAGATAATTCTTTGGAACAGTACCTTTTGTTGTCTGAAAGCCTTTTCTAATGGGTTTTGTTTCTATTGTTTTTCTTTTATTTTCAAAGGGACCAAAAGGATACAAAGGAGAACCTGGTCTTCCTGGCCTCAAGGGAAGTCCAGGCACCAAAGGACTTGGGGGACCAAAAGGAGAAGCTGTAAGACCGTTGATGCTTTCTAGCTTTGCTTTTTTCTGTGCTTTTCAAAGACAGGTTGCATTACAAGTCTTAAAAGACACCCAGAAGGGCAGTACTTCAGAGCTGCATGCAGTATCTAGATCAGTGGTTCTCAACCTTTTTAATGCCGTGACCCCCCAACCGGTCATAAGTCGAGGACTACTCAACCGGTCATAAGTCGAGGACTACTCAACTGGTGCAGCACTGTTTGCAGAATGGGACTTTTGGCGGGCTCAGCAGGGCAGAGACAGCCTGGACAATTCCTATTGGCTTTTGAAAGCCAATAGAATTAGACTCTATTCAAGAGAGTCTATTCTATTGGCTTTCAAAAGCCAATAGAATAAAAAGGAGTAGCACAGCTAAGGAAAAGGGGGAAAAAATGGCGGGCTGCGTTGTTTGGCGACCCCTGTGAAATGGTAGTTCGACCCCAAATGGGGTCCTGACCCACAGGTTGAGAACCACTGATCTAGATGCAGGTGCCAGAATTTTGGAGTAGATTTTCTTTATATAATTCCTCGTGAAACAATTCATTGTATCAATCATTATATGAAGATTTGGAGATTCCAATTTCTTTCTTTTTATCACATTCAAATGTCATCATGTAAAAATGTACTATAGTGATCCTTAATTTTCTGCCTTAATATTTAAATTTTAATTAAATGTCTCTCCTTGGCACATATTAGTGGATGAAATGCACAGAAGAAACAAATAAGAATTGTTTTAATTTTAAAATAAATATACTGTCTTCTTCCTATGTGAAAACCAATCCATCAAAGGCTATATTAAATGCAGAAATTTTAATCTTGAAAGGTCTGAATTTTGCTCTAGTTCATTGATAATCAAATGATTTTATTTGGCCTTCTTTTCCTGGTAGTATCTTCATGGCTTAAAATAGAGTAAGTATTCTTTGTGTGGCTGTTTAGCATTTCAGTGAAGTAATCCACATTTGATTTAAAAAATTTTTTTTACTCTATTTTGCTCAGGGTCGTCGTGGTGATCCTGGAGACATAGGAAAACCTGGAAATCAAGGATCCAAGGGGGAGAAAGTAAGTACTGTGTTTCCCCAAAAATAAGATCTACCCTGAAAATAAACCCTAGCTTGATTTTGGGGGGTGGGCCTAATATAAGCCCTACCCTAAATGTAAGCCCTAATTCAAGCTAGGGCGGGGGTGGGGGGGGTGAAGCTACCTCACACATCCCACAACCATTTACCATTGCAGCCAGGCCTCCCATGCCCCAACATTTGCCTCACCTTGCTGGCCCACTTCTTCTGCGGCCACTTGCCACCACTTGTACACATGCGTCACCCCCAGCCTCCATTTCACTATTAGAGGCCTGCAGGAAATGTCTCTGCAGCTGAGAATGGAGCTCCAGATTGATGCACACAATGCCCCCCCCCCAACCTCCATTTCGCCATCAGAGGCCTTCTTGAAAGGCCTCTGCAGCTGAGAACCAAGCTCCGGATTGAGGCATGTGGCGCCTGAAGGCCCCTGATGCCAAAATGGAGGCCGGAGGCAACACACACAAGCAGTGGCAAGCAGCAGAAGAAGAAGTGAGCCACTGTGTGGGGCTGTTGGTGCCGCTGCCGCGAGGTGAGACCATAAAAAAGACACCCTCCAAAAATAAGACCTGGTGCCTCTTTTGGAGGAAAAAAAAGAGACCAGGTCTTATTTTCGGGGAAACACAGTATCACTAAGTGTCCAAAACAACAGAGATTGTTGTTCAACCCTTGTGCTTACAAAAATCTCTTGGGAAAAGGAATGATACATGTAGATTTCTAGTGGAAATGAATAAGCTATAAAAAAGAACAAAAGTATGTCTGAGGAAAGTTTTTTCTTACTTCCTAAAGAGACTTGCTTGATTCTCAGTCCTTGCTGGGACTCCATCTGGGACTCCAGGAAGATAAAGGGAGCTGTTACTTATGAGGTTCTTTTGCCTTTATTAATTTTCCAGGACATGTTGGTGAATTTTATTACTTAGCTGGAGTTCTTAACATGGTGCTTATAGACTTCATTCAGTTCACCATTGTATTTCATGGCAGCTTGCCTGCCTGATTTGACTTTTAAAGTTTAACACAATAATATTGGGAAAGTGACATTCTGCAAAGCAAAGTTCCAGCCTCCAGAATTATCTGAGTTCCATGAGCATTCTTTGAAAATAAGGATGCAGCATGGTGGCAGCTAATCAGCGAAGCAAGCTGAGAAGGATAGATAAGGAAAAGCCAATGGGGGACAGGAGAAAGGTAGAATCTCTCTCCTTCTGGCAAATTAGCATTTTATATTTGACCATGCCCACTGTGGCATCTGTTTTTGACAAGGCCCATTATATCTTCTGAAAGATTTAAATATATCAATTGACTCAAACCTAGCAGACAACTTTGTCTCCCAAAAAGTAGAGAAGGGAACTAGGGGATCAGCCATATTGGACTTAATTCTCACTAACAGAGATGAAATGATAGAAGGTGTTGAAACCACAGGAACCTTGTGGGGGAGTGATCATGCAATATTGCAATTCAGCATTATGCAAGCACAAGCAATAGAACACAGTCAAACTAGAGTCTTGGACTTTAAGAGAGCTAATTTCAACAAACTTAGAGAGCTTGGGAAGGATTCCATGGGTGAGAATCTTCAAGAGGAAAACAACTCAAGAAGCTTAGAAAATTTTGAAAAGTGAGATTATAAAAGCCCAGTCTAGCACAATACCAACTAAGAAGAAAAATAACAGCTCTCAAAAGAAACCAGCATGGCTGCATAAAGAACTTTCTGATAAATTGAAAGACAAAAAGGACAAATATAAAAAGTGGAAGGAGGGGCACATAACTAAGTCAGAATATCAGCAAATAGCCCGAGCCTGCAAAGATGAAGTGAGGAAAGCTAAGGCTCAAAATGAACTGTGGCTTGCAACAAAAGTCAAAAATAACAAAAAAAGCTTCTTTCAACATGTAAAAAACAAGAAAAAGGTTAAGGAAATGATTGGTTCATTAGGAACACTGGAAGCCGGAAAACTCTTTTGATATCTAAAATGAAGATGACACTGCATATATCCTTTTAGGTAAAAGATAACGGTAAAAAAGGATATATGCAATGTTATCTTCATTTTAGAAGTCAAAAGGGTCTGTGTGTGTGTGTGTGTGTGTGTGTGTGTGTGTGTGTGTCGCCCTCCCTCCCTCACTCACTCTCCCTCTTTCTGCCCTTGGTCTGCCAATCCTCTTCTCCCACTCTCTCTCTGTCTTTGTGTGTGTGTGTGTGTGTTTGTGTGTGTGTGAGAGAGAGAGAGAGAGAGAGAGAGAGAGAGGCACTTGCGCTTCCTCTCTCTCTCTTTCCTTTCTCTCTCTTTCTCGTTCCTCTCCCTCTCTCTCTCTTTCCTCTATCTCTCTTTCTCTTTCTTCTATCTCTTTCCTCTCTCTCCCTCTCTATCTTTCCTCTCTGTCTCTTTCCTCTCTCTCTTTCTCTATCTCTCCCTCTCTCTTTCCTCTCCCTTTCTTTCTCTCTTTCCGCTCTCTCCCTCTCCCTCTCTTTCTCTTTCCTCTCTCTCCCTCTCTCTCTTTCCTCTTCCTCTCTTTCCTCTGTCTCTCTCCCTCTCTCTTTCCTCTCCCTCTCTCTTTCTTTCTTTCCTCTCCCCCCTCTTTTTCCTCTCCCTCTCTTTCTTTTTCCTCTCTCTCTTTCCTCTCTCCCTCTTTCTTGCTCCTCTCTCTTTCCTCTCCCCCTCTCCCTTTCTCTCTCTTTCTCTTTCCTCTCTCTCTCTTTCTCTCTTTCCTCTCTCTCTCTTTCTCTTTTTCCTCTCTCTCTTTTTCTCTCCTCTCTCCCTCTCCCTCTCTATTTCCTCTCTCTCTTCTTTCCTCTCTTTCCTCTCTCTCCTTCTCTCTTTCCTTTCCCTCTCCCTCTCCCTCTCCCTCTCTCTCTCTCCATGTGAGGAGAGAGAGAGAGAAAATGAAAGGCAAACGGCACCAAACAGGAGGGGAGGGGAGGGGGCAGGAGGCAGCAGGGAGCTGCTTGAGGAGACGTGTGGCTGGCTCGACTGCCAGGGAGTGGCCCGGGGATGGCCCAGGGAGTGATGCCCCTACCAGCTGCCGCCCCAGCCAGGACTGCCGCCAGGACCAGTTCAGAGAGACGCGTGGCTGGCTCGGCTGCCCAGGGACAGCCCAGGGACAGCCCAGGGAGCTATGCCTCCACCGGCCCCACCGGGGCTGCCACCTACAGGGCAGCAGGAGGTAGAAGGGGAGGAGGAGGGTGAGGAAGCCTCCGCCACCCTGGCCAGGACTCCACACTGCCTGGGCTCGCCTTCCGCCCATCTGATGTAGTCATGGCAGGCTGCTACGGGGGCTAGTGCTGTGCAGCCCGCTGGCCCTGGCTGCAATGCTGCAGTTGCTTTGCCTGACTGGCCCCTGCCAGCCCCTCCGCCAGCCCGGCTGCCCCCTTGCCCTGGCGCATGCCTGAACCGCCCAGGGGCGGCAGGAGGAAGAAGGGGAGGAGGACAAGGAAGCCAGCACCGGGCCCTTGGAGGAGGCTCTCCTCTCCTGCCATTGCTGCATCTCCCTCTTCCTTCCTGGCAGCTGGAACTCTGGTGTGCCTTCCCGGCCAGCAGGGCCAATGTTCGCACCGGCTGAGGATCGCAGGGGCTGCTCTCCCTCGGGGCCGTGGCTTGTGGGAGGGCTGGCCTGCTCAGCGGAGACTCCAGCGGGCCGCTCCTGGCCAGCCGCTCCCAGCAGGGATCCTGGGGCTTCCCCACATGGCTCCCCGGCCACATGCGCCTCGGACTGAGCCAGCCCAGGAAAGAGACTTCCTGGCCCGCGCTTCTCCCAGGGGGCAGGGACCCGGGTGCAGGGCCAATCAGGAGGAGAGAGAGAGAGAGAGAGAAGGGAAGTGCAAGTGCCTCTCTGTCTCTGCCTTTCTCTCTGCAAATAGCGGAGGAGGCTCTCCTACCTGCAGGAGATGGCTCAAAGAGCCGCATGCGACTCCGGTGCCGCAGGTTGCCGATCCGTGGTATAGGATTTCCTGCCTGAGCAGGAGATTGGACTAGATGACCTCCAAGGTACCTTCCAACTTTATTGTTGTTGTTGTTGTTGTTGTTGTTTGTAAGCCCTTTTTAGGCCTTTGACTTTATCTTTAATTATGTTTACTTGTTTTGGGGCAATAAACAGATTTAGAGATCAATAAGAAAGTAGTGGAATATTAATCCAGGTCCCCAATGTTTATCTTAAATCTTGGTTTAAATATTAAATGTATGGTTGTATGGATGTCTTGCTGGAGTTTTCTCTCAATTATTAGGCATAGTAAGCTAGAATAAAGTTGAAAGCTATAACTAATATGAACTATTTCTTTATTCATAGGGAGATCCTGGTTCTGAGGGACAAAGGGGTCTACCAGGAGAAGTTGGAGAGAAAGGAAGAAATGTATGATAGAATCATAAATATCAGTAAATGCCCCTCCCATTTAGACTTCTTTAGCCACTACTTTAAAAATAGATTGAAAAATGTTTCCCTATTATTATGGATATTTACATATTATTCGTTTACATATACTACTAGAATTTGTGAGACTGCTAAAATATCCTGGCAAAATGGCACTTTATTATGTTAAATTAAAGCAACTGTGATGTGCCATTCCTGACAAAAGAAAAGAAAGATGGTAAGGTAGCGGAAGGGGAACAAGAAGTCCAGTCCCGCTGTTAATTATATTACTTAATAGAATTGATGGGAAACAGAACTCTGGAGGTTTCTCTTGATAACTTTTTTTTTATTATTATTATTTTTATTAAAAAGTTTTATAAGTTTTACAAAAAAAACAAAACAATACAAAAACAAAAAACAACATATACAAAGAAAAAACTAAACATTACACAACAAAACCCCCCTTCCCCAACCCCCACCCAAACACCCCCCCTTTCCCCCCTGAGCTTCCCAGAGCAGAATATAGGCTTAATTAAAAAACAATTAAAAAATTATATTTATAAAAAAAGGAAAATATAACATTAAAATATATATGTATATATATAAAAATAAAAATTATGAAAAGGCTATATAATATTTTTTTATATCCAGTTTAAATTGTATAAATTTTATCCACTTATCCCAAACAGCAAGAAATTTCTCTTGCGTTTGTTGCTTTAAAAAAGCCGAAATCTTTGCCATTTCCGCCAAATAAGACACTTTAAGAAACCACTCTTGCAAAGTAGGCAAAGATTCCTTCTTCCAATATTGCCCTACTAACAGCCTTGCGGCTGTAATCAAATTTAACATCAATATAACCTCCTTTGTATCACAATCAGTAACTATACCCAACAAAAATAATTGCGGAGTAAATTTTACCCTCCTTCTAAAAATTCTCTGGATATTCCACCATATCTTAATCCAAAATGCTTTTATCTCTCTGCACGACCACCAAATATGATAATAAGTAGCGTCCATACAACCACATCTCCAACATTTAGGTTGTAAGTCAGGGTACATAAGAGACATTTTTTGTGGATCAAGGTGCCATCTATAAAACATTTTATAAAAATTCTCCCTTAAGTTCTGTGCTTGTGTAAATTTGACATTTCTCACCCAGATGGTTTCCCAGGTATCCAATGGAACTGGCTCACCAAAATTCTGCGCCCATCTGATCATACAATCTTTAATTAGTTCCGTTTCTGAATCCAATTCAACTAAAACCCCATAAATCCTCTTAATGTGGGTTTGTCTTTGATCCTTCACTTGCTTAATAAGATTTTCATCTTCTCTAAGAAAACCCACCTTACAATCCACCTTCCATCTATCTACTAGTTGCCTATATTGGAACCAAGAATAAATAATATTTTCTTGTGCTAACTCTTCCCGTGATTTAAACTGCCAGTTTAGTCCATCCCATCTAAGTAGCTGTCTATAAGACACCATATCCATTTTAGCACCTCTTTTTATTCCTTCTATCGCATGCCAAGGTATAGCCCACAATGGTACTTTAAAATCACTTTTATAATATTTTCTCCAAATCCTAAGTAAAGAAATTCTTAAAATATGAGCTTTAAAGACCCAATCCATTTTTTTATTAAATATTAAATAGGCATGCCACCCAAAAAGTAAATCCCATCCCTCTAGATGGAGTATCTCAGGATTTGTCAAATTTACCCAATCACTAATTAGTGTTAGAACCACCGCATCATAGTATAATTTCAAATTCGGTACCTTGAGTCCACCCCTCTCACAGAAGTCTTGCATAATTTTAAACTTAACCCTTGGTTTTTTCCCTGCCCAAATGAATTTATTAAGGCCTTTCTGCCATTCACTTAGATTAATCTCATTCTTCAAAATCGGTAACATTTGAAACAAAAAGAGAAACTTGGGTAGAATATTCATTTTTATCACTGCAATTCTTCCCATGAGGGATAATTGCAACTTCTCCCAATTCTTCAAGTCTTTCTGTACCCTAACCCACAACCTTTCATAGTTATTTTTAAATAGTTTTGCATTAGAAACAGATAACATCACCCCCAAATATTTTACCTTATTAACAATTTAAAATATCCTGGCAAAATGGCACTTTATTATGTTAAATTAAAGCAACTGTGATGTGCCATTCCTGACAAAAGAAAAGAAAGATGGTAAGGTAGGGGAAGGGGAACAAGAAGTCCAGTCCCGCTGTTAATTATATTACTTAATAGAATTGATGGGAAACAGAACTCTGGAGGTTTCTCTTGATAACTTTTGTCCTCTAAAAATTATCTGGATAACTTTTAATTTTTAATTGTCTGGATAGCTTTTGTGTTCTAAAAATTGTCCTCAATAGTTTCTTTACTTTGGTTGGGTTTCACCTCCAAAGTCATGCCTCCTTGTCCATACAACTTTCTGAGACAGAGACTCCTTTCCAACTGTATTAATGTTTAATATTTCAATTTTGAGGCCCCATGACTCTAGGTGGCTTACAGTTAAAGAGAATTTAAAAGAAACAATATACATCATTATGATATATATCTATATATCTATTCCATATGATTAAGGAACCTCATAATCAAGAACACATCTTTTACAGTGCATTTAAGGAAATATAATCTAAAGACTGCAAAGGTATCTAATAGAAATTGTTCCTCCTTATTTGTTGTTGCAGTGAAATTTTTTTGGGCCACTTCTGCAGCATGAGATTCTAAGTCTTTGGTGCAACCCAAAGTTTGAAGTATAATAGAGCAGGAAAATTGAATTCTGATGAACAATAAATATTTCTGTTTCCTTGTTTTGCAATAATCATTAAATTAATTTTATAAGGATTGACAGTTGCTTGTCACCATATGGTTGAATGAGTTCAGGTTTGATAGGTTTGTACTGTGAAATCAGTTATAGCTAAAACAAGGTTGATAATATATAAGCAAAATATTTCTGTGATATTCTAATATAAGTAGGCCTTGACTTAGAACCATTCATTTAGTGGCCATTCAAAATTACAGCAGCACAGAAAACAATGAATTATGATCAGTTTTCAACTTATAACCATTATAGCATGCCCATGGTCATGTGATCAAAATTTGGGCACTTGACACCTGGCCTGTATTTACAACAGTTGCACCATCCCGGGGTCAGGCGATCACTATTTGTAACCTTCCAACTGGTTTCCAACATTCAAAGTCAATGGGGAAATCTAGATTCACTTAACAACCACATGATTCACTTAACTGCAGTGATTCACTTAAATTCACTGGGGCAAAAAAGGTTGTAAAATGGGACACAACTCACTTAACAACTGTCTTTCTTAGTAACAGAAATGTGGGGCTCCATTGTGGTTGTAAGGACTACCTATATATAATACAATAAATAGGCTCATTTCCACATGTTATGACTTAAGATGGCCTTACTCGCTAGGTAAGCCTCTATATGTCTACAGAATCTGAAGTGAGGGATAGCGCTGACTGTTCATCTCACATTTTGTTTCACAGGGAGATCAAGGACCACCAGGCCAGCGTGGTCCACCAGGTCCTATGGGCGAAAAAGGAAACCCTGTAAGTTTATCTAAGCAAATTTATGGGATACAGCCATTAACTTACTCCCTATGTTGTTGCTTTCCAAGGAGCAGCAAAATAAGAAAATAATACATTTTCTTCCCTGTGCAAACCATTTCAGTCAAGAATAAAACTCTTATTCTTTGCTTCTTACTATAGATTTCACTTGTCCAGTTCTCCCTATTTGTCCAGCTCAGTGTTACTATGGTTCACACCATCTCTGGGAGGATCAAAAATCTATTACTCTTATTTTGTTATTTATTAGAATTGTCCATAATGACCCAAGAGAATAAACAATAATAACACTTCAAATGAAGTGTTGTATATGCATTTCAACTTTGGGAAAAAGTGTTTTTTGAATTTTTGTTAATGTACTGTATATTTCTCTCTCTCACTTACGATTTGAGTATAATTTTTAATCATGACAAATAAATATTATAATACGGAATGCAGTTCTTCATTTAAAAAATGATGCACATAGCAAACGATCAGAAAAAAAAAACAAAAAAGTTCAATGGCTAGGCCAGGGATTTTAGCATGAGATTTGATACTACAGTATAGTAAAGTGTGGTCTCTAAATGTACTAAGAAGCAGTGCCTGAAAATCTGGAGTGGCTTCATCTCAATTCTGTTGCCTGTCATGGATTGGCAGAGAGCAGATGGAAGGAAAAACAACTGGCTATATATGAAAAAAGTTAATATAGAGACCCCCTTGTAAATGGAGGAAGGGATGTTGATCATGGGATCCTAAATTCTACACCTGATCATTCATCTCTGTATTCCATCTCTTTGATTTCTCCCCACTTCCTGTTTGCAGGGCTCAGCTGGAGATCCTGGGAGGGAAGGTGAAAGGGGCGACATGGGGCCTAAAGGACCCAAGGTAAGACCTGTAGCTACCAGAAACAGGCTTAGGTTTGCTCTGGTTATTTTTATAATATTTATAACTTGATTAAATCAGCTAAAGACAGCCTTATTTTAAGACTGCCTATGGTCAAGAATGTCTTCGTCATTCTGCCTGTCTTTTTTGAAAATTCAGATTCATAGCATTCTTAGTAAGTTGTTCATTATCTTTCAGTCAGTATTTCTAGCCAACTACATTGGGTTCTTCTATACCGCTTGCTCATTAAAGGCCTATTAAACCTAAAAGGAAAGTCAGTTTGATATAATGATTGAGGGTAGAAACAGGAGACTGTGAATTCTAGTTCTATCTTAGGCCTGAAATCATCTGAGTGGTTTGCGGCAATCACTCTCTCCTGGCTTCGAAATGAGAAGCCTAGGAAGAAGGAGACAGTGACAATAGTAAACCACTTCCAAAAAACCTTGCCAAAAAACCTGCAGGGACTTTTCCAGACAGTTGCCAGACGTTAGTGCTGATTTAAAGATGCATGTGAACGCACATACATGCCCACATGCACAAACACACACACACACACACAAACAAACAAATTAAAAGGCCAGCCAATTGTTTTTTAATGGTGGTCATGAACAGACTTTTGTATTGTTTTTTATAAATTTTGGTGAGGATAGGTAGATAATGTACCTTTTATAAATAAATTAAAAAATATATCAATATTAATTATGATTTCTAAAATATTAATGTTGATAAACATAAAACTGGTTAGATTTTATACTTCTTATTGAGGTTTTTTGAAATTACACCTAGTAAGAAATGTTATGATTTCATTTTGAATTTAAGTTTTCTGCATTGTACTATGCATATCTTTTCAGTAATTTTGATTTTTTTTTTTAAAGTGTCTATCTCTTTTGGTAATTTTTTCTTCTGTTTCCTGGCATTTCCATTATTTATTATTGTATGGTTTCTCTATTATGGAGATTATTGATGGAGTTGTATACCATCTATAAAATATATGGTACTAATTTTCTTTCTGATTATAAAAGAAAACTTGGTGTAAATTTTATGGAATTGGTGATTTTATGGATGTTGTGATATAATAACTCCATGTAAGCTGTCCAGAGACATTAGAGTTAGTGGCATACAAATAATTGTCATATATAAATAATAAGAGCTAAGCAAAATTGTCATACAGATTAGTAAGAAGCAAACTTCTGGAGTCATATATGAAATGTTTGAATTGTGTGTTTATTTTCTTGTTTTCATCATAGGGTGATAGAGGAAGACCTGGATTAAGTGTTCCTGGTCCCAGGGGACCCCGGGTATGTTTTTATGACATGGCATATTTATATTAATTGCTTAATATGAAAAACACCATTAGAAAAGTTCATTTTTAATCCTTCCAAGAAGAGCAGTTTTCTGGCTGGTTTAGAAACTAAAAATCTCTCTTTCTCTGGGAAGGCAGTCATTTACATTCAAATCCTTCTCTTTTGAACGTCTTAGAATGATCCTGAAACCAAGCAGGAGAGTGGTTGACTGACAGTTTAAGGAAATGCTGCCAAATTTAAAATGGAAATAACAATGTCCTTGCGAGGCATTTTTATTGTGAAATAGAAAAACACAAGCGAGCCCTTATCCATTTCTTAACACTTACTAAAATAAACAGCATTCCCCCCCTCCTTGCTGCCACCCAATATTTTCTAAAGAAATGAGTAGCCTCTTCCCATTTCTTTTGCTCACATCATGGACAAGTAAAATAAATGAGCTGAAAAATATTAGCAAAGCATTGATTAAAAACATACAACAGAAAATAATGTTCTAACTGAGCAGTTTCACAATGATTTTCTTTTGCAAATAGATGAGGGAATTATCTTTGCAACGGATTATTTCAAATGTAAATCTATTAAAAAATGCAAAAAATTTAATACTTCTATGGAAGAGCAATTAAGAAAATGTTTTATAAACAATTAGCATACTGTATACTTTAAACTTTTATTGTGTTTAAGCCATATGCATTCGATCCAATGTCCATTGACAGAGAAAACACTGACAGATCATTCTTAGCCATAATAGGTTCTGTCAACTCTGTCTGGCTCGGAAGAAGGCGAGCTCTGGTTGGCTGGAAATGGACTGGTCACAGGGAGAGGGATGGGATGGGGGCAAACCTACACCTTATTTTCATATCCAGCAAGCACAGTGATTTGAGAACTGACTTGACTTTACTGCAACCAATACTCTTAGTAAAAGAACCCTAGCTTTAATCAAATGGAGTCAAAGCCTTTTTTTCCCTAAGAGATCGGATTGGGGCAGGTCTGACATTAAGACTGACATTAAAGATCTGACATTAAGTCTGACATTAAACTCTATGGTTGTGGTCAACCTGGAGAGGAAATCGCCTCTACCATGGGGACCATGAAAAGGATGTCAGTTCAAGGCAGTAACCAGGAAAAGTTCAAGGCCTGAGGGGGAAACATCCTCAAAACCCCCTCCTGGAGGGCTGGATCTATCCAGATGGCTGGGAGAGGACAACCCAACTGGCAGAAGACATCTTGATCAGATGCTTCCAAGCTGGGCAAAGTGACAAGGACTACAACATCTGCATTTCCAACCTCCATGGCTGGTATGTTCTAGCAGAGGAAGTGGAAATTGACCTGCCCTGATCCAGATACTGGCTAAGTGGTGGATGACAAAGATCTCCCCCTGAAAAGAAAGAGGCCCAAAACCGGAGCCATGTGAGCATAGCCCACATCACCGATCCACCGGCTGCTTCAGGTATGGGAAGGAGGGGCACTGAGCTGCCGACTGCTGAACTGCACACCCAGTCCAGAAAACAAATCAGGGTCCTGCCCAAAACCCAGTGAGCCCATGAAAGTGCCCTGAAAGGAGTAGAACTCATAGAGTTCACCCCATCCCCCAAAGAGGGCAAGAGAACTCCGACTGACCTGATGGGCAGCCTGGTGGAAAGCGAATCAGACTACAATGATGATCCCTTGGTAAGTTGCCTGGTCAACCCAGTGATCATTTCCATAGAACTGGTGGTTCAATCCTCAGGGCAAAAAGGGAGCCTAGTAGCCCTACTAGACTCAGGGTGCACCAGATGGATGGTAAGATAAGATAAGATAAGATAAGATAAGATAAGATAAGATAAGATAAGATAACCTTTATTGTCATTTTTATTGGTCAGGCCTGCCCTGATCAAGAAACTGGATGTGAGACTGAAACAGCTTAAAGTGCTCATAGCTTTTTGCCAGCTGGATGGCTCAGTGGTGGGGGCAGCAACATTTATTACTGAACCAATAGAGATGAGGATGGGCATACAGATGTAGACCCTAAGCTTCATCGTAGCCCCTGGAATGGAAAGGACTCTTGTGTTAGGACTGTCTTGGCTGCAGAAATGGGACTCCTGTGTGAACTGGAGGAGAGAACTGCTAAAAATCGAGCTTGCCAGCTGTGAAGAGGGAGAGGAAAAGGGCCATCAAAAACCTACCCCAAAGCTGCAGCAGGCGAAACCAAAAAGGGAGATGGGAGTAGCTGCAAAAGATCGGCCCCAAGGTGACCCTCAGATCTCCAAGGAGTATAGGTGTTATGGGACATCTTCAGTAAGAAGAGTCAGACATACTCCCACCCCACCAGCCAACTGAATGTGTCATAGAAATTGTATCAGGACTCAAACTACCCAAACCTAAATGGTATTTCATGACCCCTAGGGAATTGGAGGAATTGCAGACTTTAATAAACAAAACCTGAACCGTGGATTCATCCATCCCACCAGACTAAGGGTGGCTGCCCAGTACTGTTTTGGGAGAAGAAGGATGGGTCCCTTCGTCTATGCATTGACTATTGTAGGCTTAATGCTGTGTGTGTGTGGAAAATGTTTACCCACTCCCCCTCATGAAGGATATGCTGGCCCATTTGGCCAAAAGAAAGGGTCTTCACCAAGTTGGATTTATGGGAGGTGTATTACCAAGTGAGGATCAAAGCAAGGGATGAGTGGGAAATGGCTTTCAATTGCCCCTTCCAATCCCAGGTCCCCTGTTGTTTTGATGCAGCTAATAAATGAAAATGAATAAATGAAACTCTGCATGAAGAGAGTGTTAGTTTACCCGGATGACATTTTAATCTATATCGAGACCATGGCAAAACACGTAAAACTAATCAGAGCTGTAGTCAAGATAGTTGAGCAGCTGAAATATATACGAAGCTGTCCAAATGCAAATTCTACCAGGGTAAAATCGACTATCTAGGCTACCACATCTCCCACAAGGGGATAGAGATGGACCCCAAAAAGGTGTGGGCAGTGCTGGAGTGGGCTCCTCCCCACACCCTGAAACAACTACAAAGTTTCCTGGGATTTGTGAACTTTTACCACCAGTGCATCCCCTTTTGCCCAGATAGCCCTTCCCATCACCAACCTGCTAAAGACAAAAGGGAAGGGGAAACTCAAACCCAGCCACCCACTTAAATGGATTATGGAATGCCAGGCTGCATTTGAAAAGTTTAAGTGCTTGTTCACAGCAGAGCTGGTGCTAAAACACCCAGACCCCAACCCTCCCTTCGTCATTTAGGCTGATGCCAGTGATGTTGTGGTGGGTGCTTTTACGGGAAAATGAGCAAGGAGTCCTGCAGCCCTGCGCTTACATTTCTAAAAAAGCTAAATGAGACAGAGCAGAGATGGGCAATCTGGGAGAAGGAAGCCTATGCAGTACACTGGGAGCATTTTTAGAAGGAAGGAAAGCCCTGTTTGAAGTATGGACTAACCATAAAAATTTAGAAGCATTAACACACACCCCCGAGACTCTTGCCGAAATAGGCTCATTGGGCCCAGTACTTTAACTGATTCAACTTCACGTTAAGGTACCTCCCAGAGAGAGGAACTTTCAACAGATGTTTTATCCAGGCTGCCACCATACAATAGTTTAAAGCTGGAGGTGATTAAACCATCATCCCCTCCAGGCAACTGGTGGTCCCAGACACCATCCAGGCACAAGCACAAGTCTATCACTCTACTAAATTCCTACAATCTAGGCAAATGTAAAAAAAAAATTGGGACCAAAATATATTGGTCCTTTCCCCATCAAGAGGATTATTAATCTAGTAACTGTAGAACTTGAGCTGCCAAAAATGCTTAGATGTGTACAATCAGTATTTGATTGTATTCTACTAAAGCCAGAAATCACATCTTCCTTGTGTCCCAAATTGCAATCACCTCCTGATCCCATTATGATCGAGGGACATCAGTACTTTGAAGTCAAAGTCATTTTGGACTCTCATATACATCGGGGAAAAACTCAGTATTTGGTAGTCTGGAAAGTCTTTCCTCCCTTAGAAACTGAATAGGTCGACTCCCAACATATTAAAGCCCCAAACTGCTTTAAAAATTCCATGACCAGTACCCAGATAAGCTGCACTGAACTGTTTGCTAATTGAGAAATTTTGTATATCTCTCCCTCCCCTCTCTTTTTTCTTCTTCTGCAAGACTAATGTCCCTGTCAAGGGGGGCATAATGTCAGCTCTGCCTGCTCTCACAGGCATCCTGCCATCAAAAGAAGAAGGGGGAGGATGAAAGGGGGAAGAAGGGGAGAAGAATGAAAGAGGGAACGATGAAAGGGCAATAAAGCTTTGTGTGTACAAGATAGGAAATCGGGAGGGGGGCATGACAGGTGAGAAGAATCAGAGCAGCCAGATCCTGGATCCAGCATCCCATGGCCAGGCAGCCTGAGAAATATGTGGATTACCCCCAATATCTCAGACTTCTCAAAACCTCTTGGTGAGCTCCGGTTGGCTGGAAATTGACTGGTCATGGGGGGAGGGATAGGATTGGGGGGCAAACCTACACCTTATCCCAGCGAGCGCAAGGATTTCAGAGCTGGCTTGATTTTACTGCAACCATCACGTTTAATAACAGAACCCTTTGCTTTAATCAATTGGAGCCAAAAGCTTTTCTTTCCTAAGGGATCTGATTGGGGCAGGTCTGATAGGTACATTATATGTTATGTGAACCAAGCCAATTGTGATTTATGCAATGATTATTAACTGTGATTTAATGTGTTATGATGGATTCAGTTTTTGGGAATGTTGTTCATCAGATATTTTACTACTCACATTCTTTGTTAAAACCAAGGGAAATTTCTTGATTACTTTGGCCTTCCAAAAATTATGTTTGTCTGTCAATGAATCTAATTAATTTATTGATCACCATATGAAATTTTATACTTCCTTATATTTGAACAAATCTATGGCAAGACAAAATGAAAATTGAGACACTTTTCTCTCTTTCTAGGGTGACAAAGGTGAAAAAGGTCAGCCAGGCCCAGAGGTACTGTATACTTATGTACTTGCTTTTGCTAATAAATTGGACATTAGGTGATGTCCTATTATTTTCCTTCACTTGTTGAGGAACTGATCCTTGAAGCAGCTAGGAGAACTGGCAGGAGGAATGTATAGGTGGCATCCATAGTGGAGTTGTTCTGGGGTCTCTTGAGATGCCAGTAGGATCAAAAATGAGCCACAAGATTAATACCAGTGTTTCTCAACTCAGCAACTTTAAGAGGCAGGGACTTCACTTTTCAGAAATCATCTCCTGCTCAGATATTCTTCCCGTGAACTTGTTTTTATTTCAGTTTTGCTTAAGCCCTTAACTGAATCAGGCAGAACTCTCTTTCTGAAGAAATAATAGAGGAGAATGAAGTACTGAGAAAAAAATAGTGAGCTGTAGAGGAAAATACAAAACAATCTCTTTTTTATACCATTTTTGAGATAGGGTGCAAGAGGTGACCTTGGTCCAAAAGGACTTAGCGGGAAAAAAGGAGAGCCAGGTGATGATGTAAGTAGACTCTTGATCTTACATTCTCTGAACTGTTTAAGCACTTTAACTCTTTGAAGGGTAATTTAAGATTCTCATTTAAAAAGCATTTCCTCTGTGCTCTTCCACTGCACTTTGGCTTATCATGGATTTAGATAATAATATGCTGATCTTTCTTAATAGTAAACTTACATATTTTATAAACTTACAGCTTCTTTCATAGGCTTTAAATTATACTGTTGCCCATGTAATCTTAAGAATTAGAACATCTCTTACATTTCATATATAATTGAATATACACAATTATAAGTATTGTAATGTAGATAATATGCATATCATATACTTATGACAAGGAGATTTAAACCAGGGGTTCCCAACTCCCAGGTTATGGACAGATACCGGCAGGGCTTTTTTTCTCATAGAACACCCAGAACGGAGTTCCGGCATCTTTTTGGGATGGAACCTTGTAGGGTAGGCAAGGCGGGTTGTACAAAGTGTGTGAGTTCCGGCACCTTTTTTTTTTTTTTTTTTTACAAAAAAAGCACTGGGTACCAGGCTGGTCTGCGCAAAAAAGCAAAGCCCCATCCACGGAATGCAGGCAGTACATGAAACCATGCCCCCTCCGGTCCTCAGAAAAACCTCTCTCCACAGAACTGGTCCCTGGTGCTCAAAAGGTTGGGGACCTCTGATTTAAACACCAAAGAGCTTATGGTTCCAGATTTCTCAGGCCTGTGATTAAAATACAGATGTGAAGTTTACTATATGAGATTCTGGGGTACCATGCATGTTTCCTGCACTGGTAATAGTATCTGAAGCCTGTTGAATTCTTTAATGAATCATAGGTAGAACCTCAAAAACCTAATTTAAATGTTGTACTGATTGGGACCTGTTCCCCTCTTGGTTCCATTTCTGCTTCTGGCTGAAATGATCTTACATGGGTTTTTAAAAAGACTGCAAATGATGTCTGTCTGTCTGTCTGTCTGTCTGTCTGTCTGTCTCTCTCTCTCTCTCTCTCTCTCTCTCTCTCTCTCTCTGTGTGAGAGAGAGAGAGGGGGGGGAGAGAGAGAAAGAGAGAGAGAAGGGGGAAGGGGGCAGGGAGAGAGATAACTATATACTGTACTCAGAGAGTTATAAATCCCCTCTTTGAAACAATTATCTGTCTCCAAAGATCTGTCATTCATTTTCTTCAGTAAAACCTTCTGCATTCACTGCCTTTAACTGCATTACTCTGTCTTTCTAGGGACAAGTCGGCCTTCCAGGTCCACCTGGACCCAGAGGATCAGATGGTGAATCTGGACCCAAGGTATTGTAATTGTGCATCTGGTTGGACATTATTGCATAGCTCACTTCCCTTGGGGTGAGGCATTTGAGAAACAGGAGGCAAAAGAAGTGACTACCTTGACTCCCCCAGTAATGTGCTTTTGTCCCTAAGGTGGGAAGAAAGCATGTCACTTTCTAAGCCACTGCCCTGACAACAGTCCATTTACCTCATCTCTGCAGAGAGGTTGGCAATGGTGTTGCCAGCACCACAAGTAACGTCCATTACTTTCTGTACATTTTTATACATTCCATGACACATTTTCTATTCTCCCTTGCCTTGATTCTACTTACCACTTGTGTCATCTAATACAGGGCTTTTCAACCAGAGGTACGCGTACCACTGGTGGTACACAACCACCTGGCTGATGGTACGTGGTGTCGCCTCCCTCCCCCCTGCGGCGTCGCCTCCCCCCCACTGCGCTCCTTCTCAGCTCACTTGTTTGTGGAAAATATGCTGCTTGGCGGCAGACTCCACAAACTCTACCGAATGTGCCCTGCAGGGGGCGCGTGAAGACCGCAGGCACAGAGCAAGGCCCCGCCCTCCCCAGGGATTCATTGTGCAGCAACCGGATTGACCTCTTCTCGTACACACAGGTCAGCGAAGGAGAAGGCTGCCACAGCACCAAATTCTTGCGCACGTCAGCTGGCAACCTCCCTAACTTGCACTTGTCAGCTGGGAGGTCTGGCGACAGCTGCCAGTCTCCTTTGCTACCCTGCACATTGTCCTCAACCCCTCCCCCTGCCCATTCATGTCGAGCCCACAGGGGCTTGACAGAGAGAGGGAGGGAAGGAGGAAGGGACTCCTCCTCCTCTCCTAAGGTTCAAAGCATGATCAGCTTCCCAAGGGCACCACAATCCTCACGAAAGCGGGGGGAGAAGCAAAGGGGGCGAGAGAGCTTGCGGTGGGCTCGAAGGAGCATCTGTCAGCATCAGAGACGAGAAACTCCTCCACAAAGCCAGGGGAAGGGGTGGAGAAAAGGAGCCCCCTTTGGGAAGAAACTGCTACCTTCTTCTCCTCAGCTTCGCACTGTCCTGTTCCTCGGCAGCCGGGCTGCCAAGCCTCTGCTGACTGGAATTCTGCGTTTGTTTTGTTTTTTACTTCTTGCCTTCACGTGTTTCTGCCGTACCTCCTCAGTGCTCCTGGGAATGGGGCAGGTGGAAGAAAGCTTGGCTAGGCTAGGCAAAGAAAAGCCACGGAGCCGCGAGCTCAGATTGCAGGCAGGCCGGAGAAGAGGGTGAAGAAGAGGAGGGGGATTGGGAGAGAGGAAACGCAAGGACCTCCTGCGCCACCTCACAGAAACCTCACCTGGTTTCAGATCTATGCTGCAAAAGTTTTTCTCACGCAGAGGAGAGAGGAAAAACAATTGCGGAACACTCGGGAATCACTTGTAAGGCACCATGTACTTTGGTGCTTATTTCCTAATGCCTCCCCCCCCGTGTTTTCTGCTCCACCCCAAATTCGCCTCCCTTCCACTCTCCTTACATCTATGGTCTTAATACAGCCCTAAGTCTGTTTCGCTTTCCACACCCCCTAAAATTCTTCATTCAGAAGAATGAAGGGGCGCAAATCAGCGTGTGCTCAGAAATGCCGATTCCGCGCCCCTGCACTCTCGCTCGTGCAAGCAAGCGAGCTGGGCAAGAGCCCAGGATCTGGGCTGATCTGCGCTTCTGCAGAGCAGCCCAGAAGTGGAGATCAGCTGTAGCTGTTCTCCTGGGCTCCTGCCCAGCAAACTTGCTCGAGCTTTGCTGGAAAACATGCCTTGCTAATTTAGCAGAAGCTCGAATCAGCTGTAGCCCGGCATTCTGCTAACTTAGCAAGTGGCATGTTTTCTGGCAAAGTGTGAGCAAGTGAGCTGGGCGGAGCTCTCCTCTGCCTCTGCCTGTGCACAGGCAGGTTTGGCATGTCGCCATGGCCACCGGCAGCACAGCCACCAGCCACGCTGGCAGCCTGTCCCCCTCCCCTTGTCCCTTCCTGGGCACGGAGGGGGGGGAGGAAGGAAGGGACAAAGAGGGAGGGAAGGAAGGGACAATGAGAGAGGAAAGGAAGGAAGGAACAATGGAAGGGAGGGAGGGAAGGAAGGAAGAGACAAAAAGGGAAGGAAGGAAGGAAGGAAGGAAGGAAGGAAGGAAGGAAGGAAGGAAGGAAGGAAGGAAGGAAGGAAGGAAGGGACAAGGGGAGAGAGGGAGGGAAGGAGGGACAAAGAGGGACGTGGAAAGGAAGGAAAGAAGGAAGGAAGGGGCAATGGGAAAGAGGGAGGGAAGGAGGAAGAGACTAAGAGGGAGGTGAAGGAAAGGAAGGAAAGAAGGAAGGAAGGGACAATGGGAGAGGGGGAGGGAAGGAGGGACAAAGAGGGAGGTGACAGAAAGGAAGGAAAGAAGGAAGGACGGGACAATGGGAGAGAGGGAGGGAAGGAGGAAGAGACTAAGAGGGAGGTGAAGGAAAGGAAGAAAAGAAGGAAGGAAGGGACAATGGGAGAGAAGGGAGGGAAGGAAGGCAGGCACCCACCCCAGTCCCATCTCAGAGACCCACGGATTCCCCCCTCACAGGCACCCTGCAACCTGAGTGATCAGCTGGCCACGCCCCCGACCATTGATCACGTGACCCTGGGACACTGTGAACGTCATAAGTATGAATCAGTTGCCAAGCATCCGAATGTAAATCACATGACCCTGGGGATGCTGTAAAAATCATAAGTGTGAAAAATTATCATAATTCGCTTTTTTCAGTACTGTTGTAACTTCAGTCGCTAAGCGAATTGTTGTAAGTTGAGGACTACCTGTACTTTCTCATTTTTTTTCCTTTTTTTTTTTGGTCAAGTTTTTGATACCTTGCTAGGCGACTGGTGGTACAATGGGTGAAAAGGTTGAAAAGCCCTGGTCTAATAGAATAATTTTTTCCCTTGGGTTTTTCTGGAACTTTTTTATTTCCTGCCAAAGAGGCAGCAAGTATAAACTTGTAGAGTGAGGGGAAATAATAACTAGTGATATCAGTGTTTTTCATTTATAAACAGCTACTAATCACCCATGCCATCCACCTATCAGGACTGGGCTTATTGCAATTTCTTCCTTCAAAATTTTACTTATTTATTTATTCACTTTCTATAGCCACTAATCTCGGACAAGTGACTGTTGATGCTGCCAGACTCTTTCTTATTTAAAGCAACACTTATATTTCCCAAAGCTAGTGAATATATTGCAAGTATATATAGGTGGCGCAGCAGTTAGGGTGCAGTACTACAGGCCACTTTAGCTGACTATGTTCAGCAGGTCAGCAGTTCAAATCTCACCGGCTCAAGGTTGACTCAGCCCTCCATCCTTCTGGGGTAGGTAAAATGAGGACCCAGATTTATGGGAGCAATGTAAATATATATATATATATATATATATATATATATATATATATATATATATATATATATATATATATGTATATATATATATATATAACATTGCTTACTGGTGTACACCGCTTAGAGAGTGCTTGCACTTAAAGCAGTATATAAGTCTAATAAATAAATAAATAAATAAATAAATAAGTGGATATATTACTTTTCTTCCTGAAATCTCAGAAAGGTGGATTTCCATTTGATGAATGCTTCCATCATCTTCTTTTTTAGGGTGACCCTGGTCCTCCTGGAGATCCTGGCCTAACTGTAAGTTAAGAACATTTGTTATACTGCATACTCACGTTGGTAACTTTGCTGTCTTTCTGGTATCAGTGGTAATTTGTTGTGAGTTATGAAAAAGCACAGCAAATGCTGCTTCACACTACTTGGCATAATAGAAATTATAAACAGAAACTGATTTTGTTTCCTTAATGCATATACCCTCTGATCATATTTTGTAGAGTATAGGCAAATATTTGGGGGCTTATAGTGTTTCAATAATAGAACATTGGAGTGCACATTACGGTATAATGTTTATAATAATCTACTGGTGTCCATGTATATCTTGCATACATAATTGTTGCTGTTGTTATTGTTTATAGGACTGCGATGTGATGACCTACATCAGAGAGACCTGTGGCTGCTGTGGTTTGTTCGGAGTCTTTGCATGATCTTCATTTAGAGCAGAAGGGTTCTCTGAGAAGGGGAAAATTATACCATTTTAATAGGGAAAAGTTGCCATCATATCAAGGTGTTCTTCAGTTATTTGATGGCTAGGCTAATTTTGGACAGTTTAGGGTAGACTAATAACTCTTACATCAAAAGGATTTGCAGAATTGTAGATGACCCTAAGCAGTAGATTTGTTTTTAATTCATTGCAAATAGGCAGAAATAGTCACAGCTTACCGTGTATGCGTGCCTAATGTGGGAAATAAGCCAGAAGGATATTGTTTATTTGTTTTGTTTGCTTGTTTAAAATTATTGGCCACCAACTCCAGCAGACTCTTGCCAATTTACCATTTCCATCTCATTTAATTTAGAAAGGATGCATTTGGAAATGAAATAATGTACTTTTACTATTTTTTTCTAGGGTCTGAATTGACATCATTATTTACTCTGAACTAACAGTGGCTGATCAAGCTGCTTAATTAATGCTATCCAGCATTTAGTTAAACCAGAAGTTTAAGCTTCCAAATGCCAAGCTTCAGACTATGTAGGAAGGGACAGTTTAGAAGCAGTTTTCCCTGGGGACACATGGCCTGGATAATCTATGGTATTGCTTGACTTTCCACCCTTTGCATTCTAGTGCCCTCGCATCACCATCTCTCACCATTCTTATTGGCCCTGTTGGCTTGGGAGAATAGAGGGAGTAGTCCAACATATTTAGAGAATGCCAGGTTGGGGAAAGCTTGTTTAGCATGATGTGTGCAACCACTCAAAATGTTAGCCCTAGTTTGTTCACATGTGTAATGTTCAAATAGGCTTCAAGAGGCTCCATACTTTAAAATACTTCTCAGTTATTTGCAGTGCATTGTTGTGGTGGTCCTGGCACAGGTTCTGATTATTTTGTCTTCTGTTTCCATAGATTGTGAAAAGCGGTGTGGTCCATTGGACATTGTCTTCGTCATAGACAGTTCAGAGAGTATTGGCTATACCAATTTCTCCCTGGAGAAGAATTTTGTTATCAATGTGGTGAGCAGGCTAGGGTCCATTGCCAAAGATCCAAAATCAGAGACAGGTCAGTGAGTGATGATTTCTTCTTACAGCTGAATATTCTCCATAGCTGTAATGGTCTCCAATACCTATATGATGACATCCATTTTTTCAGCCACTAATGAATTCCTACATAGGAAGCAATATCTGATCCACGTCACTACTGCAAAAATTTGCTATCTTGACCTACACTGGTCTATTGAGCCGAGGTGGCGCAGCAGTTAGAGTGCAGTACTGCAGGCCACTTTAGCTGACTGTGTTCAGCAGGTCAGCAGTTCAAATCTCACCGGCTCAAGGTTGACTCAGCCTTCCATCCTTCCGGGGTAGGTAAAATGAGGACCCAGATTGTTGGGGGCAATGTATATATATATATATACATTGCTTACTGGTGTACACTGCTTAGAGAGTGCTTGCACTTAAAGCGGTATATAAGTCTCATAAATAAATAAATAAATAAATATTTTTTTAAAAAGATACTGTATATACAAAAATCTGTATTTGGACCCAGGTTTCTTTAACATACCAACAGCCTTTTTTGATCAACCTCTATCTGCATTGGAGGCTTTCTTGGAATAGTTGGTTTTCTACTTCATTAGTGCTGCTCTTAAGGGAAGGATGATACCATAGAAGAGCCTCCAGTTTTGTCATTCATCAATACAAAGGAGATCAAAAATGTCCTGTTAGGTCTGTTCTAGAGGGCAATATCAATGGCAATGGACATCTTTGTGGCTGCCGCTTGGGATGTGACGTTATGTCTGTGTCAATTGTTATTTGACTTGGGAACCAAGACCAGCCCTTTCTCTAAAGATCAGAAATGATACTTTTTTTTGAGTATTTTTTACAATAACTGTATTACTGGTCTCTGAAAATGATTTCAAATCATTGGCTCAGTACATATGTGAATCTGCACTCAAACAGGCTGGGGGTTAGAGGTCACTGTGATGAAGGGGAAATAGAATATCAAAATTTAGGAATTATGACCAAGTTTATTTTCCTGGCAGGTGCCCGTGTTGGAGTGGTACAGTACAGTCATAAGGGCACCTTTGAAGCCATCCAGCTCAATGATAAGCGCATTGACTCACTCTCTAGTTTCAAAGAAGCAGTGAAGAAACTGGAATGGATTGCAGGGGGCACCTGGACTCCCTCTGCACTTCAGTTTGCCTACGAAACACTCATCAAAGAAAGCCGGAGAGATAAAGCCCGGGTATTTGCTGTGGTGGTGACTGATGGACGTCATGACCCTCGAGATAAAGACTCAAATTTGCAAGCTCTCTGTGATGGAAATGTTGTGGTCAATGCCATTGGGATTGGAGACATGTTCAATGTAGATGAAGAATCGGAGACTCTGAAAGCAATTGCTTGTAATGACGAAAATAGAGTCCAAAGAATGAAAGTGTTCACTGATTTGGTGGCTGAAGAGTTTCTTGACAAAATAGAGCTTGAACTCTGTCCAGGTCAGTCAATACAAGCTTTGCTAAGGCTAATTGCAAAAAAGTAATATGGCATGTCTTTTCATATATTTAGCTAAGTATTATGTTCATGGCACCCCATTTTAAAAAGTAGCAATTGTCAAGGTCTAGTGATGTTCAGAGTTGGAAGGAATAGACAGTAGGGAATGCTCTGGTCCAGCAGCAAGGCTTACTTTTTCAAGTATTGACTGAAAGTTTAAATCATAGTTTGTGTGCAAGATTAATTGGGAGAAAATTGCATTGTTTCAATAAGATAACATTCATACCCAACTGCATTTATAGTTCACTATGAAGAAAAGTGTGTTTGCTAATGCAGTTTAATTAGAAAGGTCTGTATAGCACAAAGCACAGCCTCACCATATTTTGTACCCACTATAGTAGTAAAGTTTTAACGAGCCTTAAGAGTCTTAAGAGCTGTGGTGGTTAGAATGCAGTACTGGAGGCTAGCTTACTGCGCACTCCAGTAGTTCGATTCAGAGCAGCTCAAGGTTGACTTTATGCTAATATTGTAAATCACTTAGAGAGAGCTGTAAGGCACTATGAAATAGTATATAAGTCTAAGTGCTATTGCTATTGCTTAAAGGACAGTTTTCAAAGACTGATCAATGTAGTCATTGCCAATCTTAGACTGAGTCTGAATGCCAATTATACACTGACTCGTGATTAGACTATCATCCTAAATGAAAATGAGATTCAGTTTATTTGTTGTTCATGATGGAATATTCTCTTAGTCCCTTTGCTTCACTTTAATGCCAAAGGAAAAGTTCCTAGGCCAACATGTCATTGTCTCTGCATGGAAGATCGTTTTGGCCCAAGAAAAAGGATTAATTAGCTTCTCTTGATTGCATTAGTTTAAAACTTAATATTTTCAATATCCTGCCTAATTGTTGATATGTATACAAATGTGATCTGAATGATTTCCATCAAGTGTTTTTTTACTTTTTTTCAGATCCTCAGATTGTCTGCCCTGAACTGCCCTGTCAAACAGGTAAAACAAAATTGAACTATGATCCTCTTTCCCCTTCCACCTCAATTTACTATAGTATGTAAAAGAATTCTGACCTAAACAAAGAATGGAAATTCTAACTCATATGTTTACATTATTTTTAAATATTATTCCTTCCTAATGTTTATTTTTACAGGTAGGTATATTTTTATATTATAGCTATTCTGCTTTATGGAAATGTTGTAAATATCTCAAGTCTTCTGAAACAGCAGTTTCTCAAAGCATAAAAACCTCTTCTAACCTGTCCCTTTTGAGATTAGTAACCTAATCTTGGCCCAGAGACTAACCATGAAAAAGTAAAGATCCTAAAAGAAGCACTTGGGAAATTTGCCCAGTTGCAATAGTTAGCAACGTGTCTCTGAATATAAATTAGAATGCATTTTGCACTTAGAAGCAATGAATGCTTGGGTTTAATTACTTGTGCCAGCATTACATCTGTATCACTTTACTGCCTGAAATAGAGGTACTTCTGTTTCTGAGACCAATCAGAATGGTGAGTTGTGAGAGAAAGGGCCTTTTCTGCACATTTCTAGAACATAATACCAATTTAAGTTATTAAGCCCCATCATTATCCTCATCCCTTAGGAGCTGCATTTTATGGAACATCTACCTTGGAAGATGACATGTTTATATAGACTAATTTAGCTAATAATGTAGTAAGACACAAAAGGAATGACATATTTCGTGTTATACCAACAACAGAGAAATGAAAGTGACTGAGGAAATTCCTGAAATACCAGACATTTGTCCTAAACTTTAGAGCCCTGAACTACTTTATATGCACTGAACAAGTGTTCAGTTTCTGCATTATGGTTACGGATTAGAATTGGCAGCGTCAGGATTTAATCAGTTTCAAACATGCCAAAACATAAACCAGCATTTGATCACTGATTCTGACTTGGATATCACTAGTGCATGGGTGACTTAAATCCATTCTTTCCAGACAAGTGACACACTAATCTATGTTGGTAAAAGGTTACCATTTGTCTTTCTTAAATCATAAGGGCTCCCAATTTGTAAATATTGTGTGTTATAGAGAATGGTACCATACATCGGAAAAGTTTTGATTGACTCTTTATTTGCAGCATTTCTAGTGTGAATTCAGTTTTAACTTGCTCCATCCATCCATCCATCCATCTTTCCTTCCATTCATCCAAAAATTGCCTCCTAATGTCATTAACTAATGCCCTGTGGGATCCACCCAGCAGGATAGCTTGATTGAGGTCTCCTTTGCACTGCTGGGTAACACCAAAGGAGTCTCTATTTCATTGTGATTCTTCCTCTGTCTCTCTTTCCCAACAACATCAGTGAAGAAGAAACTTCCAAATGTTGATTTAGAAATTACATAGCTTCCTTCAAACCGATAGATGAAAATTAAAAGATAGCAACTTCCCCATAGTTCATTATAGTTTCATTAAAAAACAGTGTAATTTTCCACAGGCTTCTGTACTTACTTATTGTACCACAAAAAGAAAATGTGTGTTATTTGGTTCTTTTTTAAGTCCGGTAAAATAGTTTCTTATTTATTAATATAGACATTAAATTACACAGCTATCAATAAATAAAAATAAAAATAAATAAATAAATAATAAAAATATTAAATAAAAAGATATTAATACTGGACTGATGTACAACCTCTTTATATCTTCCCTTCAAAATGTTAATTCAACTTCACTCACAAATTGCATATCACTGTTTAGAACAAATGTCTTTGAATTGCTTTTCAGTGTTTAGCAGTGATTTTTTTTCCAGAATTAGTTTAAAAGAGTTATTTTGCTTACTATCCTGCAGTTTATGTTCTATGAGCAAAACCTTTTCCAGTGTAGCTATTTCTAATAATTTGAAATAGCAAAGATTTAAAGCTAGGATACAAGTCTCTTAAAATGGTAAAAGCAAGAAAAAAGTGAAGGAAACGATTGGTCCATTAGTGGGTGAAAGTGGCAAGAAGGTGATAAGCAACAGGGAGAAAGCAGAACTATTTAACTCATTTTTCGCATCTGTCTTTACACAAAGGGAAAAAGCAGACCAACCTATCAAAAATAGTGCCATAAAAAAACAGAATAGAAACACAAGTTAAGATAGACAAGAAAATGGTAAGTGAGCACCTGTCCAGCCTAGACGAGTTCATATTTATTTATGAGACTTATATACCGCTTTAAGTGCAAGCACTCTCTAAGCGGTGTACACCAGTAAGCAATGTATATATATATTTACATTGCCCCCAACAATCTGGGTCCTCATTTTACCTACCCCGGAAGGATGGAAGGCTGAGTCAACCTTGAGCCGGTGAGATTTGAACCGCTGACCTGCTGAACACAGTCAGCTAAAGTGGCCTGCAGTACTGCACTCTAACTGCTGCGCCACCTCGGCTCCAGGACCAGATGGATTACACCCCAAGGTTCTCAAGGAACTGGCAGATGTGATCTCAGAACCACTGAACCAGTGCTTTTTTTCAAAAAAAAAAAAAAAAAAAGATGCCGGAACTCACACACGTCATACAACCCGTCTTGCCTACCCTACAAGGTTCCATCCAAAAAAGGTGCCGGAACTCTGTTCTGGGCGTTCTATGAGAAAAAAAGCCCTGCACTGAACTATTTCTTTCAAAGATCCTGGAGCACTGGGGAACTACCAGAGGACTGGAAAAGAGCTGATGTAGTTCCCATCTTGAAAAAAGGAGAAAAAATGGATCCAGGAAATTACAGACTCATCAGCCTGACCTCAATACCTGGAAAGATTCTGAAAAGATAATCAAACAATGAATCAGCAAACACCTACAGGCAAACCATGTCATTACTAAAGGCCAACACGTGTTTGTCAAAAACAGATCATGCCAGACAAACCTTATTGCAAAAGTAGAGAGAAGGATGTTAAGTGAATTAATGATTTTCAATTGATACTGAGAAAAATGTGCTGTATTGCCAGTTGGGCTTTGTACTGGGAGAGATTTTTTTCCTTCCTAAAAACAACCACATTTTCAGCCTTTTTTATTCACCATATTAATATCTATCATAAACATATAGACTCTCTGTAGTATACAGTAACTAAAAAGACATACAACAACACATAAATATTAACACGTCTGTGGTAAAAATCAAACCAAGCTGAACTGAATCTAGACTTTCTGGAATTTACTATAAATTGAGGGTCTGCTGGTCTCTTAAAGGGTCTTGTAGGCAGCCTAGCATCAATAGACACCATGTTGCCTACCTGTGATATGGGTGCTTGTGGGCTAGAGTCCAATTACTGTGGTCCACAAAATGCCCTCACCAGTGGTGGGATTCAAATAATTTAACAACTGGTTCTCTGCAGGGGGGAGGCGGAGGAAGGCAGGGGAGCGCTGCCACAAGGCAGGGGGTAGGAGGGAGCTTCTCCATGCACCCCGCAACCACTTACCATACCAAAGGGCCCCCACAGCCAGACCTACCACACCTTGACCCCCGTTGCGCCTCACCTGTTCATTAGTGACTTCTCCCACTTTCTCCTTCTTCCTCCTCCTTTGAACAGCCCTTTGCTCTTGTTGCTGCTTTTTCAGTTTTGTCCAGAGCCTGTGCAGAGATCAAGTGGGGTGGGAACCATTCCCTTCACTTTTGAACTGGCTCCAAAATGGGCTGGAAGGAGCAGCCCAAAGACTCCAATCTGGCTTTGCAGCAAGCAAGGGGATTGGAGGCACATGAAGGCACACTAGTCTGGCCATTTAGGAGCCGGTTCCCTGAACTCAAGAAAAATTAAGTATTGGTTCTGCCGAACCAGTGTGAACCAGCTGAATCCCACCACTGGCCACCACTCTTTTGTTAATCTTTAAGGAACTACAACATTCTTCATTGTGTGTGCTGTAACAGACTAATACCACTGCCTATGGATTTCTGGCTAGATATCTCTATGTAGTGCTCATGTTCAAATAATAGTACTAATTTTGGCTACTTTAAAGTATTTATTTTTGCTTGTTAACTTTTAAATTTCCCAATAATTGCGTTTCTCAGAGGAATCCTAAATGCAGCACATTAAAGTCAGCATCAGAATAAAGTCAGCATCAGAATATGAAGTTTTAAAAGCACTAGAGATATTTTAAAATGCCTTGGAAGATATAAAATAAGTTTTTGTGGCCCTGACAAACTATAGCATAGGGGGCTTTAGGGAAGTTATTATCCAGGACTCACTGGATAAGCACCAGCATCAATGTATAAAACCAGCAGGATCTGAAATCAGAGTATAGCCCTGAAAATATTCTTTTGACACTCACTTGCAGATGGGAGGTACCCAGTTACTTTCCGCCCTGTGGAAGTCGAGATAACTTTGCCCAGCACCAAACCCATGATCGCCCAGTTCCTGAACTCCACGAGGGAGATCCAGGACTCCAGCATGTATACCCAACTGGTGGCCACCTTGGCCTATACTGCTGAAAAAGCCAAGTTTGCCACTGGACATGAGCGGCAGGAATGGATGGACTTGTTCATTGATACTTTTAAAATGGTGCACAGAGAAATTGTGGGGGATCCAGAGACTGTAATAGGGCTTTGCTAAAATGATTATTTTGCCTCTAAGAGAAAAAGAAATTTATGGTTTGGCCCTTTTAGCTGAAGGAATTTTCCTTTACTTTTTATTAATTCCAAATTATAACAAAGAAGCTTCTAAAATAGGAATGTTTTCAGATGTCTGCTCTGGTGTGACTAAAGATTACATGCAGCTTTACTTAGTAACCAGTGTCCTGGCCCTGCCCAAGAAATGTTTGCAGCCACTGCATCCCCAGAAGGCAGGAGAGTGCAAGCTTTTAATTCCTTGCTTTAAAACCTGTCTGGGCTGAGAGATTGGCATATTTGCTAAAGCAGAGGCTACAAATCAGCATGTGCAATAATGCCAGGAAGTAATGGGTAAGCAGGCCAAAAGTGACTTTAAAGAAAGACTTGGCACAGTATCATCCAGGCAGTTGAACAACAAAATACACTAAAACAATAGAACCCCTCTTTTGGCACAAATTTGTTGGTACAAACTATGCCTATGTTTCCTGGTATCCATAGAAATAGTAATAACTGGAACAAATATATATGGAGAGGTATATAATCTAATTATTTTGTAAAGTTTGTCCACCGTTTATATCTACTGGTTAAATATTGATAAGCTCCTTATAAACTGGCTCAGTCTGAAGAAAATTCCACTCAGAAACTAGTGTTCATGCTCAGGAATTTGCCTTGCCAGTCTGTCATATTGCGTGTACAGTTATGCACTGGTTTTGTTCTGTTTAATTCCACTAATGTAGACTTCAATCACACCCATAGAAATCCCTTCATGACCTTAGAAATAATTTGAAACAGAGTAAATGGAAATTGTTTCTTGTTATTTCATTTTTGGCAATTCATGGGCAGTGCTAAGGAACCTCAGCAAAGTTCCCTGTCCCCTGTGCAAATCTGTTTTAGTTGTGATGTAAAAGAAAATAAGTGAAAGATTTGGAGAATTTTTAGAGTGCTCTTCCCAAGAAGACATCAATGTACAAAAATGATTTTATTTTGGGTAAAAGTTTGCAATTAATTTATTTAGCCAGTAAAAGTTTTATTCTCCATAAAATGATCTATGAATATGTTTTCTCTTTTTGTTATTGTCATTTTTGATAATCATGTCAAGAGCAATATGTGCAATGTACTTTCATATGTGAAAGAGAAAGAAATGAAATCTCAATAAATAGTGCACACCTTGGCTAATAGAGTAATGTTTATCTTTTCAAACAAAAATCTAGTTAGGCTTAGGCCTTATTCCAAGTAAAAATAATCCTTGTTTAGCAACCACAATTGAGACCAGCAACACAGCCATTAACTGAAGTACTCACTAAGTGAAACTGTAACTATGCTTATGATCTTCATTCAGTTTTTCTCTGCTTTACGGACCTGTGAAAACCATAAATATGAGAATGGGTCTCAAGGTTATTTTTTCATTACCGTTATAACTGCAAATTTGCAAAGTTTCTCGAATTCTTTGCACTAAAGAAACATTTGAAAAACATAGTCACCACCCTCTTAAACAATGCCTCTTTCCTATGTTTTACTCTTTAAACCCAAGGAAGTTCATAGTTTTTGGTGAATAAATTAGTGGCTGTGGTGGTATTTACATATGCCTTCCTGCCTCTTCTATTTTAAATGCTTTTTAAGACAAATGCCTCACACCACAAAATTAATCAAACTTAAGTATTTTTATTACTTGAATTATTTATATATTCCATGCTATAATAATATACTGGTCAAAAATGTTCTTCAGTTAAAACCCCTGACTATTAAGGGGCTAGTCGCTAGGGGCATATGGAATTCCAAAGAAATTCCATTTTTTAGCTTTACTACTTCTTTTTTCTTTTTGGTTGCATGGGTGAGATCTTATTTCCATTCCACACAGCACTTGATTTTTAAACTCTGCCATTCTCAGAGTTTAAAATCTCAGTGTGCCTATGAAGTTACAGAAATGGTTTATGTTATGTGGGAAGATGAGAAAAGAATATTCCCATACCTGATCTCCAGTCTTAGAATCTCAGAATGGAATGAAATCCTTTCCCCAGCTTTTTGAGTTATGTATTCTAAAGTCCTGATTGTCTGTTTTTTTTCCCTTTCCCTACTCATAGAGCTTTCTGTTGCCCAGTGCACACAGCGTCCAGTTGACATTGTCTTCCTCCTGGATGGTTCTGAAAGAATTGGCAGCCAGAACTTTCGTAGGGCTCATGGTTTTATAGAAGCAGTGGCTGAGCATCTCACCCTGGCCAGAAGTGACAGTGACGACATGAATGCACGCATTGCCCTGCTACAATATGGAAATGAGGATGAACATGACATAGTTTTCCCACTGACATACAATATTACTGACATCACAGATCGTTTAGCTGAGATCAAATATTTGGACTCCTCTTCCAACATTGGATCTGCCATCATATATGCTGTCAACAACCTTGTCATCAGCACACAAGACAGGCAGAAGGCAGCTCGGCGTAATGCAGAGCTCTCCTTTGTCTTCATTTCAGATGGTATTACAGGCAACAAAAACCTGGAAGAGGCAACTGATTCCATGAAGAAACAGAATGTTATGCCCACAGTTGTGGCCCTAGGCAGTGATGTGGACATGGATGTCCTACTGAAGATCAGTCTAGGAGATCGGTCAGCAATTTTCCGGGAGAAGGACTACCTAAGTCTCTCCCAGCCCGACTTTTTTGATAGATTTGTTAAGTGGATCTGTTAGTTGTGAGATAGACACCAAAGCTTTTAAGCTCCTATATTGCTATATGTTTTTTTAGCAAAAGTATGCTGCCAGTAGGCACAAATTTTTAAGGGAATTTATTTTTATATTCAAAATTGGTAGGCTCATTTCAAATAATGTTTATGGTGCTAATTGAAAACAAAATAATAGGAGGCTACAAAACACCACAGTATCACTTGTCATGCTTTAAAACATTGTTTAAGATGTTTATATTGTAATACTTTTGGTGCTGAATAGAGGAACTGTGCATTAAATATAAAGCATAAAGAACTTTCATCTCCAGCTACCCCAAGGATCCATCTTAACCCTCCTCTCCCATTATTTCCCACTCATCCATTTACTGGTAGACGGGTAATTCCACTGTGCCTTGACTGTGATGCTAACATTTCCTTTGTTTTAAAGGAGATATTTTGCAGTTGAAACAATAATAGAAAATATTTTTATCAATACTGAGTTTTGCACTTGGCCTATTCCATTCGTAAACACCTAGTCTTCCTTTCTTTCCATGTACTTGCTTCAGGGTTGCAACATTGGATGGTCTCCCCTATATCATGATGCATGTAATAAATGGACTTCACAAAGATATCTATAGCTATTTCATCTTAGAAAGGTCTAGGAAAAGAAGCTTTGTTCCTATACAGGTAGTCCTCAACTTATGACTGTAATTGAGCCTGGCAATTAGAGTCATAAGTCACGATGGTTATAAAGCAAATCTCTACATGACCTACTCATTTTATTACCTTTTATGTCAGTTATTAAGTAAATACAGCAGTCATAAAGTGAATATTGTGGTTGTTAAGCAAATCCTTTGTTCTTTATGAGGCAGTTTTTGTTGGAAACTGGAAGTAAAGCCTATTTCTGGCAAAAACATAAATTGCAGAGTGTTGCAAATGGCCATAAATGTTGCCAAGCACCAATAGAGAAGGTGAGGTTGAACTTTGAAAGTGGGTTGTAAATCACTTCTAGGGGTCTGTCATAACTAAGTGACTGATTGTAAGTGGGGGATTACTTATACTATTAAGATATGGCATCCAGTCCTCCTGTGCCAGTACTGTTCTACTCCCAAGGAAGGAGTCTTTCACTGAAAATGGACATCAGTATAATGTAAAGAGATTCTGCTGGGTTCTCTTCTGGATTTTGTGCTACATTTAACTGAAGCCAAGTGCCATCAGTTTTCAATGTTCCATGTATAAATGTGGAATTTCCCTGATTTGACGTGGCAAACCATTTTTCTTTTTCTCACAATAATGATAAGCACTATTGAACTGAATCCCAATTTAAAGTGTACTACTGTACGCATAAAGGAGTCTATTGGAACTGCATTTGAGCATTCTGCTTTTATTAGGTCTGCACTAGAATAAACAGTTCCATCAAATTGCTTTCCCCAATCAAGGAAATTGCATAAGAACCAATTTTGTTACAGCCTGCAAATTTACATGGAAAATTGAAAGAAAGCATGACTACATTTTTAAAGAGATGGGGGAGAGGCAACTGAAGTGTTACATAACAAAGAAGATGAATATAAAAAGTCCATACATTATGAAGATATGAAACCAAAATATGGTTTTAGAAACATATGTTTGTAATTCAGAATTCTGCCCTATTAACATGGAGAATATTTTACTGGTTTGCACACTTCTAGCTCCAAATAGTTTTGGGAGTTTTTTTGTTCCACACCACACTGCCTTTTTTATACTTTCAACCTTCTAGTGAAAATGTGTCTTTGGTCTTATTTCTAATTACTAATAATCTCATTTTTCATAAATCATAGATTATACTTTTTCTGAAATATAGTATGAACTATCCAATCTGCCACTGTGCAAAGCCATACTAATTGATGAGCAATGACTACCCAATGTCAAGGTATTCCTGAAATAGTGTTTCTGGAATAACATCCTTATTTGAGCCAAAATTGCACTCCTGATAAATAAAAACTTTTTTCACAATATCTTAATATTAGTGTCATTCATTTTGTAGTGATTTAGAAGAATCGGTATGGCTCTTTTACCATATATGCTTATTTTATTATTTTTTTAATTATTAGAATTAATAATCAATCAAGAATATAAAGCAAATGTTTGTGTAATATAAGTTCTAGTTCATAATTTCCTATTAAATTCAAAGCTTTTTTTAATTAACACTATGCTACAGTCTTTGCTCTTATATAATGCCTCCCTCAAGTGCAATTTATATAGTTCCTGGGTACTATATGAACGTGTTCCATTGATATTATGAGAAAAATATGGAAATCCTTTGCTATTGCCACTTTATTTAGTTGTCTAAATTCTTTGACTTGGACATATAATCTACACCTTTGGATTTAATGATAATCTCTTAATAACTCTTCTGTCTATAAATGATAAACTGAATAGCTGATACAAAAATGTTTTTTCATTAGTATTTCTTCCAGGAATTGTTATGAATTTAACAATATATAACATCAGGATTCTTCACTGTAGTGTATCTAGATATTGTCCTTAATTCAAAAGCTGTGCTGGATGGAGCACTTACACTGAAGTTCAACACATTTAGAGCTCACCAAGTTCATGGGCATAAGAATGTACAGGTAGTCCTCAATTTACAACAGTTCATTTAGTAACTGTTCAAAGTTACAGTGGCATTGAAAAAAGTGACTTATGACTATTTTTCACAGTTATGACTTTTGCAGCATCCCCATGATCATGATCAGAATTCAGGTGCTTGGCAACTGGTTCGTACTTATGACTATTACTGTGTCCCAAGGTTATGTGATCACTTTCTGCAACCTTCTGACAAGCAAAATCAATGGGGAAGCCAGATTCACTTCACAACCAGGTTACTAACTTATGAACTGGAGTGATTCATGTAACAATTGTGGCAAGAAAGATCATAAAATGGGGCAAAACTCACTTAACAAATGTCTCACTTAACAACAGACATTTTGGGCTCAATTGTGGTTGTATATCGAGGACTACCTGCACAAAGGAATGGAAGTATTTTAAAATATTTCTGGCTGATGTAGGGAGTTCCTGAAGAGCTATACTCATGCTGGGATGAATGTCCTTCAGTCTGAATCTGAGCTCATGCTGGAACTACCACTATGCTGAAAGTAAAAAAATGATTAAAGTTTATTACAATTGTTGATGTTTTGCATCTATTTTCCTTATTTATTTAACTTCTGTATTAACTGTTTAATTTCTATTTGTTTCTTCCTGTGGTTTCCATTGTGAACATTGTGTACAATACTGTAAAACTTTAGGAAAGGTACATTCTTCCCTGAAGCACTCAGACCCATGTCAGCAATGCAATATTGTAAGCCCAGGGCCAATGAAACTAATCTTTCTTACAACCAGATTCATAAAGAGAATAGCCAAATTCTTTGCCTTGTGACCGTGACCTGGATAATTTTCCTATATTGGATTTACAAAAGGGACTTATTAAGGCTTTGAAGAATTTTATGAGAAGGAACAAAGAAAAAAATATCATTTCTATGGTTTTTATTTTTGCTTCCATATTTTCAAATATTTTTAAGAATTTGTAAATCACCCAGAATTGCTGAGCGCTGAGTGGCATATATATGTTATTAATAATAGAAATAATAAAGAAAAAAGTCTGGATTGGAGATTATGAAAATTGTACACGGAGAAAGAGAGTTTTTTGCAACTATGCATATTCTATTCATACTACTATTACTTTGTGCTGTAAAAGAATAACTAGGAGTGAGTCTTGCAGGGGAAAGGAGACACTGGGGGAAATTGCTCTGCTGGCAAGCCATTGACAGACACCAAGATTCCACATACAAGGATTTTTCAGCTCATAAAAGATCTGTACAACTGTACTCGAGATACACATTTTGCCTGTTCTTATAGAAAGTTCCCTTGGTATAGAATCTTGAACAGAAATCAAAGTATATTCAGGCTAGAATTGGTTAGTAGGACAAAGAGCAATCAATGATACTGTATGAATTTTATTCATTGTTGAGTTATATATGTAGGTGGTACGGCATGCCAACTTATTTATTCAGGTGAAAAAAATAATTGAACCTAGTGCAAAGGGTTACTCATTGACAAAAACTGAGTAATGAAAAAAATAGTTTAATCATAAGTGCTTGATAAACGTAGTGTATATTCATTTCTGTATCAAGATGGAAAATAAATAAAATGGTTGCTATGGGAGATTATTTAAGATAACTGAAGCTGCTTCTCCAGAGCAGCCCCAAAATATTTTGCAGCTGAGACACAAAAACAAGAACCAGGCAATCCCACTTCCGTTCTATGATGGGAAAGATGACGCTGCCCTTCTATGTCCTCAAAAGCAACCCCTGCCCTTCTCATCTCTCCCACTGGAGATGGAAGCCTCATACCAGCTGGTGAAGAGTCTTTTCCTGCAGGTTCTCCAAGGAAGAGCATGGGGCTTTTTTTTTTTGTCTATGTACAAAGGCTTAGACTGTCCATTCCAACTTTTGGAAAGCAAAGGCCTCCAAACAATGTCAGATAACATTAGTCAACTGAAATAGTACGGTTCAAGCAGCTCTTTATAGAATTATGAAAGAATACACTTATAAAAGAGAAAGTGTCATGAAGAGACCAGGTAATCAGGATAAGAATCAAGAATCAGAATAGAGCTGGAAGGGATCTTGGAGGTCTTTTAGTCCAGCCCCCTGCTCAAGCAGAAGACCCTATACCATTTCAGACAAGTGACTATCCAATCTTTTCTTTAAAATCTAGTGTGATGAAGCACCCACAACGTCTGAAGGCAAGTTTTTCCACTGTTTGATTGTCCTCACTGTTAGGAAGTTTCTCCTTAATTCCAGGTTGCTTCCCTGGTCAGTTTCCATCCATTATTTCTTATCCTGTCCTCTGGTGCTTTGGAAAATAAATTGACCCCCCTCCTCTTTGTGGCAGCCTCTCAAATACTGGAATACTGCTATCATGTCACCCCTAGTCCTTTTTTCTCTAGACTGGCCATTCCCAAATCCTGTAACCGTTCTTCATATGTTTTAGTCTCTAGGCCTTTAATTATCTTAGTTGCTCTTCTCTGCACTTTTTCCAAAGTCTCAACATCTTTTTTGTAATGTGATGACCAAAACTGGATGCAGTATTCCGTATACGGTCTTACTAAGGATTTATTAAGTGGTATTAATATTTCATGTGATTTTGATTCTGTGCCTCTGTTTATATAACCAAATATCGTATTAGCTTTTTTGGCTACTGCCACAGACTGCTGACTCATGTTTAAGTGTTTGTCCACTAGGACTCCAATGTCCTTCTCACAGTTACTGTTTTTGAGCCAGATTTTGCCTAATCTGTAATCCTTTGGTTTTTCCTGCCCAGGTATATAACCCTTCTTTTTTCCATATTAAATTTCATTTTCTTGGATAGGCCCATGTTCAAGTCTATCAAGATCTTTTTGGATCCTGAGCTTGTCTTCTGCGGTGTTGGCTGTTCCTGCCAGCTTAGTCATCTGCAAATTTGATGAGTTCTCCTATTCCCTCATCTAAGTCATTCATGAAGATATTGAAGAGTATGGGCCTAAGACAGAACCTTATGGTATCCCACTACTTACTTCCCTCCATATAGATGTAGTACCATTAAGGACTACATATTGAGTATGGTTTGTTAGCCAGCTATAAATCCATCTGGTGGTGATGCTGTTTCTCCCACATTTTTCTAGCTTACCAAAAAGTAGGTTGTGGTTTACTTTGTCAAATGCCTTGCTGAAATCTAAATATAGTATGCCCACAGCATTTTTCTGATTTACTAATTTAGTCACTTTGCCAAAGAATGTTTTTAATAAACCCATATTGGCTACTAGTTATAATGTTATTTGTTTCTAGATGTTCACAGATGTTTTTTGAATATTTTCCCCAGTATCTTCCCAGGTATTGATGTTAGGCTGATTGGTCTGTAGTTTCCTGGGCCTGTTCCCCCCCCCTTTTTTTTTTTGAAGATGAGAACCACATCAGCTCTTTTCAAATACTCTTATAGTTCCCCAGTGCTCCAAGATTTTTTAAAGATACAATACAGTTCTGAGATAACATCTGCCAGCTCCTTCAGAACTCTAGGATGTAATCCATCAGATCCCATGATTTATATTCATCAAGGTCAGACAGGTATTCGCTTACCATTTTCTTGCATATTTTAATTTTTAGTCTTGTACAGTTGTTTTTGGTAGGTTGGGCTGCAGTTTCTTTTTGTGTATAGATTGATGCAAATAATGAGTTAAGCAGCTCTTCTTTCTCTCTACTACCTATTAGTTCCTTGCCATCTTCTCTCTTTAGTGGGCCAACTGCTTCTTTGACTTTTTTTGTTATTTATATGTTGAAAGAGACTTTTTTATTATTTTTGATTTTTGTTGCAAGGCTTTGTTCATTCTGAGTCTTTGCATTCCTGACTTCATCTTTGCAGGTTCAGGCTATTCTGCCTTAGTTATGTGTCCCTCTTTCCATTTTTTGTACCTTTTTGTCTTTCAGTTTGTCAGAGAGATCTTTGTGCAACCATGCTGGTTTCTTCTTGGATTTCTTGTTTTTCTTTTTTAGTGGTATTGTGTTGGACTGGGCTTTTATGATTATGTTTTTCAGTGTTTCCCATGCTTCTTGAGTTATTTTCCCCTTTAGGATTTGTTAAAATCTTTTAAAATTTAAGACACTGGTTGGATTATATTCTATTGCTTGTTTTTTCATTATATTGAATTTCAGTATGATGTGGTCACTCTCATCCAAAGTTCCGGCAACTTCAACTGCCTCTATCACTTCTTCTCTATTAGTAAGAATTAGATCTAGTATAGCTTTTCCTCTAGTTTCTTCCTCTACCTTTTGGATGACAAAGTTGTCAGCTAAGTTGGTTAGGAATCTGTCCAATCTCCCACTTGCTGCAGAGTTTATCTTCCAGTTGATATCAGGGTAGTTTAAAGTCTCCCATTACTACTGTGGTATGTTTCCTACATACATTTGTTAATTGATTAGCAAAGAGTTCATCTATTTCTTCTGCTTGGTTGAGAGGCCTACTGTATACACCTATTTAATGTCATGTTTTCCCTTTTAGAATCCCATATGGATTCTAGGTTTTCATCCTTGGTTTTGTGAATTTCTGTAAAGATGTAGTGATCTTTCATATATAATGCAACTCCACCTCCTCTTTTGTTAGGTCTGTTTCTTTTGAATAGTTTGTATCCTTCCATCACTACATTCCAGTCACGAGTTTCATCCTACCAAATTTAAGTAATGGCAAATATATCGTATCTGCCTTCAAGTTCACCGTTTGCTCCCTAAACTTTGAGCGTTGAGTCCTTTATTGGTCTTGGTTATGTTTTTTATATCTCCTACTTTGTAACTGGGATTTACAGCCTTTCCAACACTCTCTATTTCATTATGTTTTTCTTTTTCTCTCTCTCTCTTTACTCTCTTCCTCCTTATGTGATTGGTTATCTAGTGTTTTTTTTTTTTACTTGGAATTAGGTTCTATAGGTCTTGAGGTTTGCCCCCTCTCCCCCTCAATTTTAGTTTGAAGTCCTTTTGTTAAGATGAGCCAATCATTTTCTGAATATATTGTTTCCAGTTCTTGTGAAGTGCAGTCCATCCCTTGCCAGTAGCCCTTGATATAGGTAATGCAGACTATGGTTAGGAAGACAAAGTTCTGTTGATGACACCAGTTTTTAAGCCAGTGGTTTGTTTGTAAAATCCTTTGCTCTCTCATTGGATGTTGCCTTTTGTTGGAAGTATAGATGAAAATACCACTTGTGCTCCTAATTGTTTAACTTTCTTCCCTAGCTGTTCATAATCTCGTAATTGTTTTCAGATTTGTTGTTGTGTCATTGGTCCCCACATGTAGGAGAAGAAAGGGGTAGTAATCCATGGGATTGATTATTTTACTAAGGTACTCAGTTACATCTTTGATTTTTGCTCCAGGGAGACTATATACCTCCCTAGGTAGACTGCCTGGTCTGCAGATTATAGTATTTGTCCCCTTAAAAATTGAATCTCCTATCACCAATATTCACCTTTTTTTTCCTAGGGAAGTCTGGAATACTGGATTGGGCCTCATTTTTTTAGAAACCATTGATGAATGCTATTTTGTGAATGTATATTTTCTTCCAGGGGGAAGCTATGAAGCAATTGTTCAGTTCCACAGGGGCTTTGTTGGA